CCCAAAGTTGTGAAATCGTGGCTGAAAGTCCAATATCTTGTGGGAATCTGACCAGTCTCAAGGCTCATGTAGCTCCAAGGATGATTTTCCCCTCATAAATTGCTGCGAACTGAGGCGTAAAATCAAGGGCCCGGAGGGCCTGACCACGAGTCTCTGGGGGGGTCGGACCCCCCCCCCTAGCATGTGGTGTGAGTAGAAGTGCGCCCCCCTCCCTGGAAGCGATGTCCGCCTGCTCCGGGGGCTCTCTCGGCTACGGACGGCCTACGGGACCGGCCCCAGCTTCGGCTGAGGTAGAGACCGACCGACAAGCTTGCCGAGCCTGACCTCCCGAAGGCGATGCGTTAGATGCGCGAACCGCCAAGGAGCGGTGCCGGTGGGGTCCTCACCCCGGCGGCCCACGCACGCCGTCTGAGCCTAGCGCAGCGTCCGGGACACGTCCGCGACGTGTCCGAGACATGTCCCACAGGCGGCCGCAAGAGACGTCTGGCTCACGATGGCGCCTCTCGGAGAGTTCAGCGGCGGCGGCGACCTCAACGCCCTCGCCGCGGCCGAGGCGGCGGCGCGCGCGGCGGCGATGCAGCGCGGCATCTGAGGTGTGGGCGCGGCGCGGCAGCGCGGCGCACACCCATCGGCCTCCGCCCCGTCGCCGCTGCTGGGAGGCTAAGAGGCGTTGGAGTCTCCGTCTCGAGCTCTTGCGGAGCGGGCGAGCTGCGTGTAACAGTTGAGCGAAGACTCTTTGTCTTTGAGTTTGTACCTTGTTTGTGTCGTCGCCGTGTCGGGTACACTGACAGCAGTAGGGATACAGTAATTTCGACGAACCGCGGGACCGGCCGGGCCACCTTTGAGCATGTATCCCCTCTATCTATCTATCTATATCCCCTACCACCAGGTGCCTCCAGAAGCGTGCCGTAACTTGTTGCTAACTTCCGTAACGTCAACCTGTGACGCTGCCCCTCCGCGCGCCCGCCGCCCGCGTCTCATGCAGCGGACAGGTCCGCCGTCGGTCGTTGTGGATTCGGGCCGAGAACCAGCTCAGAGCCCTAACGCAATGGCTGGGGCGTGGGCGGGCGATGCGCACCCTACCCCCCAAACAGCCGGAACCCAACTCGAGTGCCAGGCACCACTGGTACGCAGGACTGCCGCGTGTTATGGCCGAGGTCGAGGCCCCGCTGCCGTTACTCACCTTCCTCGCCGAGGTTGTGGGCCCGCTTGGCGCGCCCTTTTGGCCAGCAGACTACAGCAAGCGGGCCGCAAGTGAAAGCACTGCCGCCGCCTCCTCCTCTGCCTCCCATGCAGACTCCGTCGCGGCTCTCATCGGCAAGGCCAGTAGCGGCCAGGCCAAGGTTGGCCAGGGCCTCTGCCGCGTGGACGACCTCCTCGTGCAGCGCGGCCACTGTAAGACAAAAAAGGATGCGAAACAGCTGATCAAGGCCGGGCATGTGCGCGGGGCTGGATACGTGACGCACAAGGGTGGCAGCGTTGGATGGTCCCAGAGCGGTGCGGAGCTCAAGGACGCCAGCCAAAGGTTGCCCCTCAACGCGCGTCTCGCTCTCTCCCCCGACGGCCAACAACTGGTCAGGATCCTGGCGGCCGGCACGGAGATGCGCGAGCAGCAGCGCAAGGCCGAGGAGGAGCAGGAGCAGCTCATGGCGCCCTCGCGGTCGTTGCCAAACTCGGTGCTCGCAGAAATCGTCGCCGAAACACGCGCCGAGCCCCCGGTTGAGGCGGAGTGCAGCAAGCCAGGCCCGAGCGGAAGCACCTCCAACGCTGCCGCCGCCTCCAACGCTGCCTCTACTAGTACCGCTGCCTCCACCGCCGCCTCCACCGCTGCTTCCACCACCGGCTCGAGCGGAAGCACCTCCGCCGCCGGCTCCTGTGCGGCCGCCGCAGCCCCAGCAGGCGGCAGTTCCCTCCCAAGCAGGCGGAAGTCGTTTGAGGCGGAGATCGTCGCGATGATCCGTGCCGGCGGCGGCCGCGCCGTGCCGTTTAATGAGCTCCTCCCCCGCCACCGGACGCACTACCAGCTGCCGGAGCAGCTGCGGCTCCAGGATTTGGGATGCAAAAGGTTGCGCGATCTCGTCGCCGCGCTTCCCGCACTCCGGCTCCAACCTCAGCGCGCCGGCGGGAGGTTGCCGGGGGGCTCGCATAAGCCGCTGCCGCTTGTGGAGCTTGCCCCTGCATTCGCCGCCCCTGCCTCCGCCGCCCCTGCCTCCGCCGCCGCCGCCGCCGCCGCTGGCTCCGCCGCCGCCGCATCCGCCGCCGCCGCCTCCGCCGCGGCAGCGGTGGTGGCGGAGGCTGAGGGTTTGCGATTGCACCTCTCCAGCAAGAGCAGCACCGGGTACAGGGGCGTGTTCAAGGATTCTGGCCGCTTCGGGGCGCGGTGCAGCGTGGATGGCAAGGATGTTTACCTTGGCTGTTTTGACACGGCGGTGGAGGCGGCGGTGGCGTACACGCGGGCAGTCGGCGAATATCAGCCTCCCACAGCGACGGCCTCTGCCTCTACCGCCTCTGCCTCTACCGCCTCTGCCTCTACCGCCCCTGCCTCCGCCGCCGCTGCCTCTGCCGCCTCTGCCTCCGTCGCCGCTGCCTCCACAACGTTCGCGCAGATGCCTCAGGCCGAGGCGCCGCTCAACAGCCTCGGCCTGCCGCTGCGGCCCGGTGCGAGCCCGTGCGCCTTCTACGTGCAGCACGGCGCGTGCCGGTTCGGCTCGAGGTGTCGGTACAATCACCCGGAGCCGACCCAGCTGCGGCAGATCGAAACGCTAGAACGGCAGATGCTGCGGCCCGGGTGGTCGCCGCAGAAGACCGATCAGCGACGGCCCGCCGAGAATCTCTTCAAGACGAGGGTCTGCCGCAACTGGGAGCGCGATGGGACATGCGCCGACGGTGCGAATTGTCGGTTTGCGCACGGAGAGCGGGAGCTGCGGGCTCTCGCGCGGGAGCCGCCGCCGCGGCTATGGCGCGTTGATTACCTCCTCGTGCAGCACGGCCACTGCAAGAACAAAGAAGACGCGAAACAGCTCGTCAAGGCCGGGCGTGTGCGCACGGGCTTACGCGGGGAGGTGGTCAAGGCCCCCGGGCAAAAGCTGCCTGGCGACGCGCGTCTCGCTGTCACCCCCGACGGCCAACAACTGGTCGGGATCCTGGATGCGGGGCCCGCGGCGCTCAAGCCCGCGCCCGCGTGCGTCGTCTGCGGCATGCAAGGGGTCATCGCGTCCCATCACATTCGCGACTGCCCCGCCGTCGCCGCCGCCGGCAGCGATGCCGCCCAGGAGCAGCTGATTGAGCAGTCGCGCGCCCAACGCAAGGCCGTACAGCAACGCGTCGTCAACCTCCTCGTGGCACGCGGGCTCTGCAGCTCGAAATCCGCCGCCAGCAAGGCGATCAAGGAAGGGCGGGTCACAAGCGGCGGCGAGACGATCACCGTGATGGTCCCCTTTTTGGCGCCCGACGCGCCCCTCAGCGTGGCAGCTGCCGCCACCTCCCTCCGTTCAGCCGACAAGCGTCCGCCGCCGACAGCCGAGCCTCCCAGTGCGTCTGCTACCAAGCATGCGCGGCCGGGACCGGCACCGTCACCGGCAGCAGCGGCTCCGGCGGCTGCAGCGGCACCAGCAGCGGCGCCGGGACCGGCCCCGGTGCCGGTGGCAGCAGCGGCGCCGGGACCGGCACCGGCGGCAGCAGCGGCAGCGGCAGCGGCAGCGGCAGCGGCAGCGGCAGCCGCAGCACGGGCGGCTCCTGCGGCAGCAGCACGGGCGGAGTGTGCCGTGCCACCGCCGCCGCCGTCGTCACCGTCGCACTCACCGCCAGCGGTGCCGCCGCCGCCCCCGTCGTCGCCGTCGCGCTCACCGCCAGCGATGCTCGAGTTTGGCGACCCGCTGCAGGAGGAGCGGGCTGCGATGCGAAGCGTCAACTTCCCCGCCGGGGCGTCGGAGGGGCGCGCAGGCGGCCCGGCGCGCGGCAGCGAGGTGCCTCGGAAGTGTCTCGGAGGTGTCTCGGGAGGTGTCTCGGACGTGTCTCGGAAGGTGCCTCCCACGGGGTACCTCTGCCACAACTGCAGGCAGCCGGGCCACTGGATCGGAGACTGCCCGCTGCCGCGTCAGAGCAAGCGGCCGAGGGACGACGAGTCCGCCGACGCCGCGAGCGACGCGGGCGAGGGCGCGGTCGACGGCGGCGGCAGAGGAGGCGGAGGCGGCGGAGGCGCAAAGCGTCCTAAGGGCAAAGGAAAGCAAAGCGGGCCTCCGGACGGCTACGTCTGCAGAATGTGCAGCAGCCCCGGCCACTTCATCGCCGATTGCCCGCTCGCCCCGCGAGAGCGCGCGGCGGAGCGGCCTCCGCCCCCCGCCGGCTACGTCTGCCGCAAGTGCAACCAGTCGGGGCACTGGGTCGAGCTCTGCCAGCTGCGCGGGCACCACAACCCCGCGTCCGCGGTGCCGCCGGTCACGCCGAGCGCCGGCGGCGGTAGAGGGGGCGGCAGCAAGTTCTGGCGTACATACATTCTGCCGCTTGTCGACAACCCCATGGGAGAAGGGGCGATGGTGGCGCATCTAGCCGCCCATTCTGCCGCTTGCTCTGGCACCGAGTCGGCGGAGGTCGGGCGCGACGTCGCGGAGGCGCTCGAGGAGGCGGAGGAAGCCGCCACGCTCGGTACGGGCGGCGGCGGCGGCATCGCGGCGCCGCGCCTCGAGACGCCCGAGGAGATTTCGGCGTGGCAGGAGGCGAGGCGCACGAATTGGCCGACGCGCGCCAACATCAAGCGCAAGGCGGAGGAGGCCAGGGCGGCGGAGGAGCCCATGCGCGTCGCCGCCGGCGGTGAAAGCGGGCGGCCGGTGCCGGTGCCGGTGCCGGTGGCGGGCGGGGACTCGCGCCCCTTTGACGTGCCCGACGACTGGCAGCAAGAGCGAGCGAGCAACGCGGCGGCGACGACGACGGCCACCTCGCACGGACTGCCGCCGCCGCCGGTGCCGCCGTCGTTTGCCCCGCCTTCTCTGAATTCCGCCGGGCGGGCGGGCGGGCTGCTTCCCTGTGCGAGGCGCGAGGCGCCGTGGGTCGACGCGACGTCCGAGTACACCTTTTCGGACGGCTCTCGCGTGGCGGCTGTCTCGGGGGGTCCGCCATTGCCGCTGCCGCTCAGCGCCGGTCCCGACGCGAGGGGGGCGGTGGCAGGTGGGGCCCACGCTCTGCAGCAGCAGCAGGTGCGTGGGCGACAGCAGCAGATGCCGCGCTGCCTGCCGCCGCCTCCCGCAGACGAGGCTTGGCGTCCGCAATGGCAGCAACAGCAGATGCAGATGCAATGGCAGCAATGGCGGCGGCAGTACATGCAGGGGGGGGCTCCGCGCGCCGTCCCCCCCCTTGGCTTTCATTTGCTGCCACGCGGCTTGCCACCGCTGCCCCGAGACGTTGCTCCGTCGCCTCACATCTCGCCGCCGCTCCCGCACGGCCCGCCGCCGCTCCCGCACGGCCCGCCGCCGTCGTTCGCGCGCACGACAGCCGCGCAGCCGCTCCACCCGCTGGCGGCGCCCTTCGCCCCTCCCGCCGACTACACGGCCCGTTTTATGTGGTGAAGGCGCTGGAGGGGGGTCGGGACCCCCCCCCTAGCATGTGGTGAAAGTAGAAGTACGCCCTGGAAGCGATGTGTGCCCCGAACGATGTGCTGTAAACAACGTCTTGGTGTGAGGCGAGATCTGTAGTCGTCGTCTCATTTTTCAAGCAGTGCCGACCGGCTCTGGCTGCTACGCGCGCTCTCTCAGATCGCGTATTGACGCTGGGCCAGAGAGTTGCGTCCCACGCACACGTAAAATGATCGCTGTCGATCTCTGCGCCGCCCAGCGCGGGGGCGAGTGATTTTGCGCCGTGTCGTCGCGCACCCTCTCCTGCCGTCGCAGCCATCCGCGCCGCCCGCGGAGAGAGGGCCGGTGGGGGGCGGGGGCGGGGGCGACCGCTGCGCCGTCAGTTGCCGCCGGTGCTGTTGCCAGCCATCAGCGCCCGCGCTGCCGCCCACAGCCTCACCAGCTGGTCGCGCGACTCGCCCTCCTCGTCGAATAGGTCATGCGCCTGCGAGTGCGCGGCTGCGAGGGTCATCACGAGGACTCGAGCCCTCACTGGAGAGGCCGCCGCCGTGCTGAGGAGGCGAAGGCGAGGGCGGCAACGGGGGCGGCGGGGGCGGCGGGGACGGCGGCGGCGGCGGCGGCGGTGGCGGCGGCGGCGGCGGGCGCCGGGGCGGGCGGCAGCCAGGGTGGCAGCGCCGCCCGCGAGGGTGGCGGCGGCGGCAACGGCGGCGGCGGTGGCGAGAGTGGCGGTGGGGCATGTGAGGGCGGCGGTGTGGCGGCGGCGGCAGTGTGGCGGCGGCGGCGTTGGTGGCGGCGTTGGTGGCGGCGAGGCAAGTGGCAACGGCGGTGGCGGTGGGGGGGGGGACACCAACTATCCCCGAGATCAGGTGAGTTTGATATTACCTTGAGGCGTCCACCAGTATTTTCAACAGCTTGGTGCTGCGATGCTCTATGGCCTCTTCAACCCGTTTTTGGGGGGGGGGGGGGGGAGGCCCCCCCCACATATGGGCCCCGGGAACCCCCCTTTATTTCAGCGGGGGTTTTTCCCCCCCCCCCCTCTTGAAGGGGGGGCATGGGGAGAGATGGTGGGGAGAGACGGTGGGAGAGAGATGGTGGGAGAGAGATGGTGGGAGAGATGGGGAGAGATGGGGAGATAGATCTACGCCTGCGGCCAGGTAGGGCATGGGCAGGCCCGCAGCACTGGCGAGCGCCTCCGGGCCCGGTCGAGCCGGCGAGTGGCCCGCCGCCGTCATGCAGGAGCTGAGCGCTCTGGCGCGCACCTGTCTTGACAAGTACAAGAAGCGCTGCTCGCTGCAGGCGGCACTGCAGCGGCTCGTGCGGCTGGAGCGCGAGCAGTGCGCCCCGACGGCCGAGGAGGGGCAGCTTGCCGCAGCGCGCGCCGAGCTTGCGCGCCACGCCGCGAACGCCGACGTCGCCGCGGCCTCTGCGGCGCAGCAGCAGCGCACGTGCGTCATCTGCTTCTGTGACTACAGCCTCAACGAGGGCATCGAGTGCTCGGCGCCTGCCCGAGCCAAGGCGCATTTCATGTGCAATGGCTGCCTGGGCACGTACGTCACGGGGCAGGTGACCGACCACGAGGATGCCAACCTCCGCCGCTTCGAGCAGCGTGGCGGCGTGCGCTGCCCCAGCTTCATCGCGCCGCGCGCCGGCCAGCCGATTGTCCCCGGCACGTGCTGCGCGCCTGCGTACACCGACGCTGCATTGGCGAGCCGCTTGCCGGACGTGACGTTTGCTCTGTACTTCAACGCGAAGAGCAAGGTAGCTGAGCAGCAAATCGAACTTGCGGCGAAGCAAAGGAGCGCCGCTGAGGTCGCTCGGCTGCAGGCGGAGCTCGCGAGACGCGACGAGGACGTGCGGGCTGCGCAGGTGCGCACGCACATCATCGAGAAAATCCTCAACCCAGCGTGCCCGCGCTGCGGGCAGGCCTTCATCGACTTCGAGGGCTGCTTTGCGCTCTCTTGCAGTCGAGTAGGGTGCACCATGCCGCCCCATGGCTTCTGCGCCTATTGCTTGCACGACGCCAACGGCGACGCGCACCACCACGTTGCGCATTGCCGGTACAACATCGCGCCGCCCGGCAACGGCGTGTTCGCGTCGATCGAGGTCTACCGCGAGGCGGAGCGGCGCCGGTGCCAGCGCATGTTGCGGGAGTACCTCGGCAAGCTCGACGAGCGAACGCGCGCGCGCGCGCTGCGCGATTGCGCCCAGGAGTTTCGCGACTTGCGGGTCCAGCTCTGAACCGGCGAGGGCGGTGCATGTGCATGTGCGTCTCTCTACGTGAGATCGTACCGAGCCGTGGTGTCGCCTAGAGAGAGGGTGTCGCGCGCCGGTGGCTGTTTTGTGCATGGCAGAGTCGATGAAAGGCGGCACTCCGGTCTCCGCAGCGGCGCGCAGGCCCCACCCCACCGAGCACCGTCTCTCTCGTTTCAGGGATCATGGAGGTCAACACACTCAACTACCCCACAATTAAAGTCAAAACTTGCACATGACTGAGTACAACCTTGTACACACAATACATACGGATGCGCATGCAGGAGCTGTGTGCGCGTGCGCCACAGACGACCACAACTTAGTGCGAGTCGGGCAGCAGCGCCCCCGCCTTTGTCCATCGGCTCCCCGACCCGAAGTTGAGCTCCGAGACGAGCACGTCGACGCGTATGTTTTGGCCGGGGTAGCCCTCGTTGCCGAACGGGTCGAGGAAGGACTTGGACAGCTCGAGCAGCCCCTTGAAGAAGAGGGTGAGGAGGCCGGTCGCAAAGACTGAGAGAGATCCGAGCTCGGGGTACAGCGCGAAGGGCGAGAGGAAGACGAGCGAGTCGACCAGCACCTGCACCAGCTGCACGTAGGCGAGCGGCATTCGCCCCGCCGCATAGTCGCCGATGTTGAAGTACTGCGCGCGCAGCTCGGTCAGGCGCCGCAGCAGGTTGTCCTCGAAGCCATTGCCTCCGCGCAGCGTGCCGTCGGAGATGCCGCTCATCGCATGCAAGCCCACCCACTCCATCAACACGTACGTGTACTGCGAGGGCGGCAGGCCGGTGCCGAGCAGCGCCGCGGCCTCTTCCGGCGTCAGCTCTCCAGCGGCGACGAGGCCCTGCAGCCCCTCTGGGCTAAGCAGCAGCGGGCCGATGGCGCGCGCGTTTCGGAGCTCCGCAGGGAGGTCCTCGGAGGCGTCGCCGTCCTCGACCCCCCCATCGCCGACTCCGTTGGAGCAGGTGGGCGTGGCGGCCCAGAAGAAGGTGTGCGAGACGCGGATGAGCCGAGTGCAGCGCTGCAGCAGCCGCGAGGCGTCCTCGCTGTAGCCGGACCCGCCCCGCTGCGCGCCCACCGCCAGCAGCAGGCAGACGTCGTTGACGCGGCCCTGGATCGCGCGGGTGGTGAAGTAAACGGACCGCCAGTGCGCGTACGCCTGCGAGGTGAAGAACGTCAGGATGAAGGTGCAGAGCGTGAGCTCGTACTCCCACAGCGTGTTGAGCCCGTTGAGCGACGCGATCAGCGGGTCGGCGGCGGGAGGCACGGAGAGCATCGACCATGACGCGGCGGAGAGCTCCCGCGAAGCGTAGTCGACGGCGACGCCCACGCCCATGTTGAGGAGCACCGGCGATGCCGTGAGCGAGAGCACGGTGCCGCGCCACTTTGACCAGAGCCAAGCCGCGTCGGGGTTGTACTCGCAAACGATCGGCCGGTTGGCAGTCTTGGCGACGGCCCACTCTGTCAGCAGGTCGAGCTCGCCGCCGTCCCAGCCAGGAGTCGAGGGCATGCCTTCGTACGAGCACGCTGGCGCACCGCCGCGACGAAGGCCGGCTCTGCTCGAGTGTCCACGCGCTCGGGCGCCCGTAAGCAGAGCGAGGGACAGCATGAGTGTGTGTGTAGCACACACACCTCTCTCGAGGTTCTCGAGGTTCTCGAGGTGGATAGAGCTCTACATGTATCCTTCGGCCGCGTCGGGTAGCGCACCGATTACTTTTGGTAAAAAACAAGAAGAGGGTCGTCGTGACGCTGTTTTGCGCGCCTGCTCGCTCTCACCACGTCAACAAACATGCACGGCAGAGTCTTCTCGGCGCGACCTCTTCACTTCTTGCGTTCGTTAAGGAAGGCCACGAACTGCCCGACAGCCTGCAGGCAGGGTTGACAGGTGTCAGCCGACATCGGCCGAGATTGAAGTGGCGAGCTCGCTGGCGGCCTGCAGCAGCCGGTAGCGCTTCGACGGCCTCCACGGACGCGCCTCAGGGAACGGCAACGGCCTTCCGATCGCGTAGGCGGGGCCGAAGATGCCGCCGAGGCCGCCTAACCAACCGAGTGGCTTGTCAACAGAGAAGACAGAGCGGCTGCGGCCCAGCGACGCCGCCGAGCCCGCCGGTGTTGCCGAGCGATCGCTCCATCACGTGGCCGATGGTGTACCTGTGTAAAGGTAAGGCACGGTAAGCTTCTCCACACACAAAGTGGTGGGGCAAGGGGGTCCGTCCTCTGGTGTGTGCCTGCTCGCGGCAGGCGGCGTGAGCAGTGTCTCTCTTCACGGCTGCAGCCGCGGCGCGGAGAGGACGCACTTGATGGCGAGTCCACTGGCGTCAAACTTGAGCGAGCAAGCCTGCCGGGACGGAAACGCAGCACACATGGAAGACGAAGGCCGCGGGCGAGAGGGTGGCCCGCCGTCCATCTCGGGCGAATCGCGCGCGGTCGTCTCTCGGGCGAATCGCGCGCGGTCGTCTCTCGGGCGAATCGCGGGCGGTCGTCTCGTGTGGGCCGCGGGCGCAAGCTCCGGGCATGCCTGCGGCGGAGTGCTGAACGCTTTGCCGGTCGGCTTGCCGCCGAGGAAGCCGCTGCCGCTGTCGGTGCCGCTGGCCTGCCGGCCATTGCAAGATGGGGTCGCACCGGATCGCGTACACGGGAGTGGCGCAGAGACAGGCTTGCACGGTCAGGTCTTGTTCCAACGGAGTTGTGTGTGCGGTCAGGTCTTGTTCCAACGGAGTTGTGTGTGCAGCTGTGAGTGAGAGTTGTCGGCCTCACAGCGCCGTCGGTGCCGCTCGCCTGGCTCGTGAACCAGACTCTGCCCGCGTCGAGGGGATCGGCCCGGAAGTGGTGGAAGCGCGGGTTCAGGTCGGGGAAGGCGGCCTTAGGGAGTGCCAGTCTCTCACGGACATGCTGGCAGTGTGCGCTTGGCAATGCTGGGCCGCCGCCTTGAGGTCGAAGCCGCCGACTGCCTTCAAGTACTCGTCGCGAGGGAGCCCGTCCGCGCCTCCAACGTACGGCCCCATGAAGACAAATTCGGGCGCGAGAAGCTCCGGCTTCTCGGTGCCCTGGCCGTAGAAGAGAAAGGCCTTTGCCGCCGAGATGAGCTCAGCCTCGCTGAGCGGAAAGTCGAGGGCTCGCAGCGCGGCAGCCTCGTCGAGGAACATCGAGTCGGAGGCCGCGGGTGCCAGCCGAGCGCGTTTCTTTCCGAGGCGGCCCGCTCCGCGGTGGAAGCCGGCGGTGCCTCCGATGGCGGGCCACACTTGCGAGCCAGTCGGCATGACCTTTCCCTCTAACGACGACGACGGAAGCCGCACGCCCGAGTCGTACCAGGAGCTGACCGGCGCAGCGCTCAGCGCGGAGCACACGGAGGGCGATAGCAGGAGAAGCGCCATTTAGGTGTGTGGTCGGTGTGCCGCCGTCGATGTCTCTGAAAGTGCACTCTTGAGAGAAGAAAAAAGAGGACGGAGCCCCACAGGCACGCTCATGCACACTAGGCACGGGGCTGGGTGCACTGGAACAAGGCGGTTCAGAAAAGAAAGGTTCGAATTATCAAAAAAGAAAAGGTTCTTGCACACACACACACACGCTCTCGCGCCAACCGGCGAGCCTAGCGCAGCGCGAGAGATTTGCGCAGCAACCCGGCCGGGCAACACGCAGGCTTTTTTGTTTTTTGGAAGGCAAGAGTTTTTTTTTCCCGGCGGAGGACCCGCCCGGCCGAAATGTCCGCGCTCAACCCTTTCGCCGCTGCGTTCGTGCCGAGTGTGGCTCCACCTGCAGGGCCGACGTCGCGGACGCGAGGCCGGGGCAGGAGGCCAGGACAGTCTGGTCGCTGGGAGGCTCGTGCGCGGGAGGAGGACTGGCGGCTGCCAGGCATCGCGGACCGCGGGCGCGGCCGGAGGGCAGCGGCGGGACGTGCAGTCGCAGCCCGGGAGCGCGACGACGACGCGTGGACCAGCGTCAGCAGCTGCGACGGAACGAGCGACTGGTCTCTTCCAGGATCTCACGCATCTACTGCTGTGTGGGTCCGCCCATCGGCGCCTCCTTCACTCGCCGGCGACGGCGACGAGCCGGCCGCCGACGCCGCCGACGCTGCCGACGCCGCCGACACGACCTGCACCGTCTGCTGGGAGCCACTCGGCGCCGGCCGCGTGGTGTCGATCCGCGACTGCGAGCACCTCTTCCACCACGGCTGCACCTCTCTGTGGCTGAGCTTGGGTCCGCCGGTGAAGGAATGAAGGACTGATGCGGGCTGAATAGGCTGCCTCTACCAGTGGCTGAGCACGAGCCCGAGCTGCCCCAACTGCCGCATGCCGGCGCACCCCGCCTCAGTCGTCGAGCTGTCTCGCCTCTCTGAAGTCTCCCTCGCCGGGCTCGAGAGCCCCCGCCCACGCGGTGGCCTGGATGAGGCGGACGGCGACAGTGTCGCCAGCGCCTCCACCTTCGCCTCCTTCACCACGGCAAGAGGATGGCCCCGCGTCGCGCCGGCCGCTCCCGCGGCGCCAGCGCCCCCGCCCAGCGCGTCATACGCGGACGTGCTCCTCCGGCGTGCGGAGGAGGCGGCGCGGGCACGGATGGTGGCGGCGGCGGCCGCGGCGGCCGCCGCCGAGCAGCAGGAGGCCGCCCGCTCCAAAGTGCTGCGGCTGCAGGTCTCGGGCTCTCCTCCCGCTCGCACCGCCCGCGCCGCCGCACCGCTCCTTGCCCGCTGGCTCACCGGTGTAGGAGTGTCCACTTATAGGAGCGACCGGCTGCCGCCGCCGCCAGCACGTGCGTCGTGCACGGCCGCGTGCTCCTCGCTCCGCCGTCGTCGCGCGGCCGCGCAGGCAGGAGGGGGCGGCTGCGGTTGGCCGGAGCCGGACTCGACCGCGTCGATGAGGAGGAGGAGTGAATCGCGTGTGAAATCGTGCGCATGTGAGGAAGACGGGGGGGGGACGGGGGTGTCCAGATATATGTGCCCGACAACTACCAAGGCGCGGAAACCTTGCCACTGGGTTGCGGCGTTGTGTGTGCGTGTATACGATCCACATGGGCTCAAAACTGTCCATCTTCAAGAGGCAGGGCCCCGAGATCATCGTGTTCAACGATCTCGAAACGATCGAAAACAGGTACCCACGGCGTCGAGCCTACCTCGTCGACAGGGAAGAAAGTCAACTTCCTCGTCTACTCGTATCCCGGCAAAGACCTGCCCGGCCAGCCCGACTCAGCGAAGAATGCTATGCCGACGCAGTGGGCCCCTTTGGTCAGCGACGACTCCGTCTTGCCACCCGACCCAACAACCAACCTCGGCAAGTGGGGCTATGACGGCGACGGCAAGACGCAGGGCTACCTCCTCGAGGAAAAGCTCCCCGGCGACGAGCTGCCCCGGCCGACAATCCCACCGGTATGGACGCCGGGCAACGCGACCTTGCCCTTTGGGCATTACAAGGGCGTGCTCAACCCCGCCTTCGCCAACTTTCCGAACTACTATCCGCTCGGTCAGTTCCCTATTGAGGGCAGGTACCCGCCTGACGTCGCCAACCTGGCCGCCGACCTCGCGTGCGAACGACTTCTCGCACTCAAAGCCCACAATGTTCATGTTGTGACCCTTTCCCCTCTGCTGCACAGGTGCTGGTCTGTGCGCGCCGAGGCAAAGACGGTGGTCGAGTTTGCCGGGCACGAGCTCGCTGATTAGTTGGCGCCCGGAAGTCGCACTAGACTGTGCTGGCCGACCGCCCCACGCCTCTCGTCGCAATCACACATCTGCTCGCTCGCGCGTTACGCCCGATTGTCGCTCGGCGCGATGCGTGGAAATAGATAGTGGGCGCAGGCGTGCAAAATTTCTGCTTGCGAAATCCACCCCTCGATAGGTAGTCTCCCCTCCCCCTCGCTGGTGTGTTCGTTTGGGGGGTCATAAGATAACAAAAACTCCCGAGCTCCCCGGCCCTGGACGATGTGAGGTTGATAACTGCACTCCAAGTGCTCCAAGTACAAACAATGACGAAATGGTAATGGAGAAGCTGCTAACAGCCCCCTCTCCGGTGGCACACGGCGCCCACGCCCGCCGCGACCGGTCTACAATCCCGCAACCCATGAAGTTGAGCAACGGCGCCCCCCTTTTGCAACCCCCCCCCCCCCCCCCCCCGAAAGAGTGCCAACCCAACACGGCCCGCGGCCTCAGTAGAGGTCCCGCATGCTGCTGCTCGACCGGCTCGCGCGCGGCGGCGGCAGGTCGATCGTCTCCTCCTGCTGCTCCTCGCGCGGCCTGAGCAGCCACAGCAGCGGCAGCGGCGCCCTCGCGATGCACTTCTTGAGAGGCGACGGCGCCCCGACAGCAGTCTCCGAAGGCCCCGCCTCGGGCTCCGACCGCGGCGGCGCTGCCGACGCCGGCCCGTCACCGCCCGCCGCCTCGGCGAAGCTCATGTGGCGGTACGAGGTGTCGGCGGCGCCCGGCCGAGCGGCGGCGCCCGCCTCCTCGTCCGCGATGGCGCGCGCGTTCTGCGGGGGCGCGGCCTGGCGGATGGCGAACGCGCCGGCGACGAGGCAGATGAGCGCCGCGAGGTCGATGGTGTAGCCGAGGGAGCGGTGGTTGAAGGGGTAGGGCAGCGGGCAGGACGAGGTGTGCTGCAGGCAGGGGAGGTCGTTGCAGACCGGCTCGAGGGCGGAGGTGGTGGCGAGCGAGCAGAGCGAGAGGAGGCAGGCCCACCAGAAGCAGCGCACCGCGCGCACCGCGCTCCCGCCGCCGACGAACTTCGCCTTGACGTCGCGCGCCCACGCCTCCGTGTCGAGCAGCCCGTCGAGGTACATGTCCTTTGCCATCGCAACCGCGCCGCCGTTCGCCGCCGCCTGCGCCACCCGCGCGGCGGAGGGGCGCTCGCCGTCGACGAGCTCGACCCACCCGATGTCCTCGTCGCCGCGCGAGCGCAGGAGCAAGTCGCACTCGAGGAGCAGCAGCAACCACGCATAGGCGGCGAGCAGCGCCATCAGCACGGTGATGATCCAGTCGTTGAGGCTGCAGAGGAGGCAGTACACGCCGAGCGCGAACACCACGTCGATCACGCGCAGGTGCAGCGCCGTGTCCATCCCGAGCGATCGCCAGAAGGACGCCAGCCGCGCCGGCACCACCGACGCGCCGCAGCAGCCGCCCAGCCGGCGTATCGAGCGCGAGCGGGCCCCCGCGAGCCAAGCGCGGGCGGCTCCGACGCAGCCGCACACCTGCCGCCCAGCCTCGCGCAGCCCGAGCGACCGCGCGACAGTGGCGCCGGCCGCGCCTCCTGCTTCGCCGGCGGCGGCGGCGCGAGAGCCGCGCGGGCCAGAGAGCCGCGCGCCGCCGTACGGAAGCACAAAGGGCGGCACCCCGTCGGGCGAGCCGCCGGGCGAGGGCAGCTCGGGCGAGGCCGGCGCTCGCCGCGCCGAGGGGGCGGGCGCCGCCGTCGCGCGCGCCGCCGAGGCGGCCTCGCGCAGCTGCGCGATGAGGAGCGCCTTCCGCTCCCCCCTCCGCTGCGCCGGCTCGGAGCGCTCCTCCTCGGGGCCCCGCTCGGCGGCGCGGCGGGAGGGGGCGTCGGCGTCGGCGTCGGCGTCGGCCGGCTGCAGGTGGACGGAGAGGGAGAGGTAGTAGACGGCGAGCAGCGCGCCGGCGTAGCACAGGTCGGCGTACCGCATAAGGACGAGGTAGTACCACTGGTCGTCGGAGAGTAGGGAGCGGGTGAGGGCGCGCAGGCCGCAGGCGGTGCAGACGCATCCGAGGTAGAGGACGAGGGCATGCTTGACGCCGTGGGGCATGCGCGGCTGGCAGAGGAGGAGGTAGAGGGCGACGAGGAAGGCGAGGCCGGCGAGCGCGCCCTCTGGCAGCGCCGTGACGGGCGAGTGGTCGCTGCACCAGTGGGACGAGTTGACGAGCGTGAAGAGGACGAAGCCGGCGACGAAGACGGCGAAGAGGAGCAGGGTCGAGGCGGCAAAGATGAGCAGGCAGGCGACGCAGGTGGCAAGCCAGGTCGCGCCGTGCGCTGTCTTGTTGACGAGCCACGCAAAGAGCGGCAGCACCGTGCGCTCGGCCAGCGATCCGACCTTGCCGAGCCCACGCGCGCCGGCAAAGGCAGCGCGGTCGACGACGGACGAGCCCGCGTCAGCGACGCCGTCTCCGTCGCCGTCGAAGTGCGCGCTGAAGCGACGCGTCGCTGCGCCGCCGGACGAGACGGCGCGCAGGAACTGCTCGAGCAGGGAGTCGATGTCATCGTCGTCGTCCATCGACGCGAGCTGATCGCGCGCGTGCTTGAGCAGCGTCTCGATCTTGGGCACGAGCAGCACCGCGGCCGTCATCGCCGTCAGCGCCGCCAGGACGAAGATGTATCGCAGGATCGGCCCCGAGAGCGAGGTTGTCTGGTGCAGAAGCCCCCACACGTTCTCGACCTGCCCGTTGAGCTGCGGCCGCACCACACTGTCGCAGAGGAACTTGGGCACGTCGGGGCACTGGAAGGCCTCGGCGGGCACGATGCCAAACGTCTGCTGGTGCACGCGGTCCAGGAGCGCGTAGATGGAGTCGGCGCCCGCAGAGTGGCCGGTCGCGCACGAGATGAGTCCCTGCGGTCACGGGAGCACGTGTCTGTGGGTATGCCGTGGCAGCGGGTCGCGCGTGCGGAGGAGGGAGTGGAGGCGGGGGATCTCGGAAGCGAGCGTCTCGGAAGTGTCTCGGAAGCGTCTCGGAAGTGTCTCGGACGTGTCTCGGACGTGTCTCGGAAGTGTCTCGGACGTGTCTCGGAAGTGCTTCGGCCTGCAAGAAGCGCTGCGCCGACAAGAGCCGCGACGTGAGCGCCTCAAAGTCGGGGTCGCCGCGCAAGGACGAGAGGTCGACCTCCTCGTCGGGCGTCCCCTCGACGCCCGCCGCGCGGAAGATGGCCAGCTCGCTTGCCGTGCGCGGCCGCACGCCGTCGGGCGCGAAGCGCAGCCCGCGAAAGTCCATCGTCACGCGCGGCACGAGGTGGAAGTCGCAGCGGGAGAAGGCGGTGAAGATCTCGTCGCGCTGCAGGTCGAGCTTGGTGAGGAGGAGGGACGACTCGGGCTCCAGCTGGAGGCGGAAGCCGCCGCGCAGCTGCTGCGACTGCTCGTCTAGCAGTCCCTCCACCGGCTGGACCGGCCAGGACAGGTCGAGCACGTACTCGCCGCTGCAGACGACGTTGAGGCCCGTCACCTGCCCGCCGATGCGGAAGGGGAGGCAGTACTCGGTCTCGACCTCGCGCATCACAAAGTCCTTGCACTCGAAGCCTTCCACCGCGATGTTGTCGATGCCGTCGCCCAGATACGGCCGGACGACAGGCAGCAGCACGCTCTTGGCGAGGCTCGCCTAAGCTCAGAGGAGGACTCACGTTCGGGTCATCTCGGGTGATCTCGGGTGATCTCGGGTGATCTCGGGTGATCTCGCTCGCCTGCCAACCGCTCACGCCCGCCGCCTCGAGCCCCGCCTCGGCGGCGCCGTTTGGGATGCCTCCGGAAAGGGTCTGGCGGGGCATCTCGAGCGACGCGTTGAGGATCCCCGCGAGCAACTCCCCGTTGAGGAATGCCTGCCCATGCGACTGTGCGTACGTGTCCAGCGTCGGCTGCTCCGTGCAAGTGGTGTCGAGAGCCGCATGCATCAGGCCGACCCAAGGAGGGTGCGGCGGCGGCGGCGGCGGCGACGGCGGGGCGGGGGGTTGGGGCGGCGCGGGCGGCGCAGGCGGTGGCTGAGGGGAGGGGTAGATGTTGGTGCAGCAGTGCTTCCCCTCACACCCTGTGTCGCCGCACCCCTCCTGCCCGGTCCAGCCGCGGCGGCAGCAGAGGCCGGAGCCGCAAAAGCCGGTGGCACACACGCCGCCGTAACCGCCCAGGCTGAAGGAGGAGAGGCCGCACGCCTGCACGCAGGGCTCACCCTCGTTCTCCACTGGCGGCGGCGGCGGCGGAGGCGGCGAGGACGGTGGAGGCAGGGGTGGTGGCGGCGGCGCCTCCGGCGGAGGTGGCGGCGGCGGCGGCGGCGGCGGCGAGGGTGGTAGTGATGGCGGCGGCGGCAGAGGCGGAGGTGGGTTTGGGGGACTCGGCGGTGGCGAGAGCGGAGGACGGCTCGGCGGGCTGGGAGGCGCCGTCGGCGGCTGATCGCCGGAGCCAAAGAGCCAGAGAGGCGTGCGCTGATGAGGGCCGACGGCTGCTGCAGTGACCTCATGCGTGCCGGTGAGCATGGTGGGAGAGGAGGACGGAGCCTTAGCCCCTGGCGCGCGCCTTGGGACGTGCCGCTCTCAGCCGGAGAGCCAGACGCACCCTCGAGGTCTCCCTGGAGCACAGTGACCCCCCCCGCCCCCCCCCGGATAGGTATGAGAGGTTACCCTGGATGGGCGGGGCCTCTACTCGCCAGGGACGTGCCTCAACTATCATATAAAAAGCCATGAAAAGAATTTCAAAAATAAAAAAGGACTCTCAAAAGAATTTTTTTGGCCCGAGCTACACCTCTCACATCCAGGGCCGGGCGGGGAGCTAAGAACAAAGAGAAGCGCACCCAGCGGGCCGGATGATCGGCATCGGGTTACGGGCTAGAGAGCCCTAGCCCTGGGGGGTGCGCGTTCGCGTAAACGCACAACCCCGCACCCCGGGCCCGAAATCGCACAGAGTCACGCAACACGGGGTCCCTGCGTTCGCAGGGGAAGGGCCATAAAGTAAACACGGGTCTCCGAGGGTTAGCTCCGCGCTCCAGGTTTCCCCTAGCAGCAGAACGCCCGCGGATTTTTCTTTTTGATTTGGGTTCAGGAGGGTTTGGGAAGGGTTGCGCTCCTACGCTGCTGTGCTGGGTTCCTGGGCTCCTGGGTGGGTGGGGTTCCTGAAGAACAAAGAGAAGCGGCAGACAGACAGACAGACAGACAGACATACAGACACACACACACACACACACACACACACACGCATACGGAGGTCGTACACACATACACACACGCTAATTAAAGACGTACATGCTGGTGGGGTGGGGGGGGGGAGGGGGGGGGTGGGGGGGAGTGCAGAGAGGGGGGGGAGGGGCCGGGTGCACACACCGGCCATTGAGTTGTAGTCAGCCGCGGCCACAGCCGACGCCAGCCCGGCCGTCGCGCCCTGTCTTAGTCTTCTATAGGCTGAAGAGGACATCTGCGCTTAATATTGCGGGCGGGCGGGCGGGCGGCGGCGCCCGGGCGGGGCGGGATTCCACTTTGTATTCGCCGCACGCCTCCCTATACCGGTATAAATTCCCAGGTAGCGTAGGGTGCCGAACTTAAGGTAAGGTAGCTTGAGTTAGGGAGCCCTTTTCCTCTGACCGAACTCCTGTTCTAATGTGCCTAAACTCCTGCTACCCACCTCTCGGTCCAGCCCGGCACCGGCACATACGGGCCCCGCGGCCCGCACCACTGAGGCATCTCCCTCCTACGCTACGAACACCTACGCTCAAGTACGAGTGCCTACGCTACTAGATTCCCTACTCCTCCTCCTCCTCCTCCTCCTCCTCCCCCTCCTCCTCCTCCCCCTCCTCCTCCTCCTCCTTCCTCCTCACTCTCGCCGCACCCTCGTCAGCTCCACGTCAGCTGACAGCTCCGGCCGTCGGACCAAAAAAGAAATCCCCGGGCCCTAACTGCTGCTACCCCGTGCCTAACTCAGTGCAAAGCACCTAACTCGCCTCACGGTATTTTTGTCCGAGCTACACGCTGTCGCCGCAGAGCAACGCGTCCGCCCATCGCCTCGACTCCCTCTCGATGGAGTCGGTGCTGGAGGCGTTCCGGGTGCAGCAGGACCCACAGGCTCGGCCCGAGCACATCCGCGACGCGAACCTCTGGCTCGAGCGCTTCCAGTCGACCACCGAGGCGTGGACGGTCGCCGACGGGCTGCTCTCGCTGCCGGCGGAGCAGGTGGGCAACGGCTCGGCGCACGTGTTCGCGGCGCAGACGCTGCGCGCCAAGATCCAGTACGACTGGGCCGAGCTGCCTCCCCAGTCGCACGCCGCGCTCCGCGACAGCCTCCTCGCGCACGCCGTCCGCTACAGCGCCGGCCCGCAGGTGGTGCTGACGCAGCTCTGCCTCGCGGTGGCGACGCTGGCGCTGCACATGGAGGCGTGGGGCCAGGCGGTGCCCGAGCTCATCGGCCGCTTCACCTCGCCGCCGGCGGAGGCGCTCGCCAACCCGCCCTTCGGGTCCCTTCCCTTGCTGGTTCCTGAGCCGCTTTCGGAGCCGCCCTCTGTTTAGGCGCTGGCCAAGCTGCCCTGCCTGCTCGAGCTGCTGACAGTGATGCCGGAGGAGGCGGAGAACTTCAAGGTGCGAATCCACTCGTTACTCACGCCGCCCGGTCCTCGCACTTCCAATGCCGCGGGGCTCTTGCCTGTCTCAGGACGTGACGAGAGTCGGGGGATCGCCCGGCCCTCGCCCCACCCAAAGCGTGTGGAGATGGCTTGCCTACCCTGTACCTCTCGCCCTCAGGTCGCCGTCATGCCGCGGCGGCGCGACGAGTTCCGCGGGCTGCTGCGCGGCGCCGGCCCGCAGGTGCTCTTGCAGCGGCAGCAGTAGCAGCAGAGTAGCAGCAGCAGCTACTGCTGCTGGAGAGCGAGAGAAAGAGCGGGCGTGCGAGGGCTCTCTCAGCCTCTCTCCCTTCGACCGCAGGTGGTGGCGCTCCTGGGGCAGGTGCAGGAGCAGTGCCGCGGCTCCTCCCCGCTCGTCCAGGCGTGCCTCCGCTGCACTGCTTCTTGGCTCAAGGCGAAGTCTGTGCCCGCGGACTGCCTGATGGCGTCGCCGCTGGTCGGGCTCGCGTTTGCGGCGCTCGACGACCAGACGCTCTTTGACGAGGGTGTCGAGATGCTCGTCGAGCTGGTCCACTTTAGCAAGGAGGCCGACTCGCACGCGCAGCTCGTCGCAGGCACCGCCCTCGCCCTCTCTCTCTCCCTCTCCCTCTCCCTCTCCCTCGCCCTCTCCCTCGCGCTCGCCCTCGCCTTCGCCCTCGCCATCACCCTCGCTTCCCCCCCCCCCCCCCCCTTTCCTCCCCACCTCGCCCTTCCCTGTCTCCCTCCCTCGCCCTCTCCCTCCCTCGCCCACGACGCCCGACACGTCCACGACGCGCCCACGCCCCTGCAGGCATCATGCCGCCCGTGCTCGCGCTCGGGCGGCGGTACGACGCGGCTGTGCAGGCGGGGGACGAGGAGGTCGCCCGCGCTGAGTGGAGTGGAGACCTCATCAAGGATTGTATTGATTCAGGCGGGGGACGAGGAGGTCGCCCGCGCGCTCGTGCGCCTCTTCACCGAGACGGGGGAGCAGTGCCTCCACCTCCTCCTCACGCAGCAGCCCGAGTGGCTCGTCAGCTTGGCGGCCTGCCTCCTGCGCGGCGCCGCGCACCCGGACGCCGACGTCGCCGAGATCACCTTCAACTTTTGGTACATGCTCGCGGAGGAGCTCAACGGCGGCGGCCGCTCGCTCAACGACGCGCAGCGGGTGGACGCGCGCGGCCTCTTCGCCGACTGCTTCCGGCAGCTGCTGCAGGTGCCGCCGCGGCGGGCGGGCGGTACGATGGAGCCTGCTCTGAGAGCCTGCTCTGAGCCTGCTCTTAGCCTGCTCTGCAGGCGCTCCGCTCTCTGGTCGAGTTTCCCTCCGAGTCGGACAGCTGGCCCGCCGACCAGGCCGACGACTTCCGCCGCTTCCGGTACGCTGTCGGCGACGTGCTCACCGACGCGTGCAAGGTGTGCTCTCCTGGGACACACACGTGGTGCGGAAGTCGTCGGCCTGGTCGGCGGTCAGGGACTCACCACGGTCTCTCCTGGGACGTGTGTGCGGTCTCTCCTGGGACACACACGTGGTGCGCTCTCCTGGGACACACACACGTGCTCTCCTGGGACGTGAGTGCGGTCAGGGACACACACTCACGTGAGTGCGTACGAGTGCGGTCAGGGACACACACGTCGGCTGTCTGCACAGTACCTCTTCTCGTACCTAGGTGCTCTCTTCGACGGCGTGCATCGAGGAGGTGTACGGCGCGCTGCAGCAGCGGCTGCCGGCCTTTGGCGCCGACCCGGCCGGACAGTGGCGTTCGATCGAGGCGTGCGTCTTTTGCGCGCGGCAGATGATCACGTCGAACGAGCCCGCCTTCTTCACGGCGCCAGTCGTGCACCAGCTTCTCCAGCTGCTGCCCACGCTGCCCGCGGCGGGGGACCTCCCAAACACCGCCATCCGCACCGTGGGCACGTACGCCAACTGGCTCTCGCGCCACGCAGAGATGCTACCGCAGATGCTCACTTACGTCACGTCGGGCCTGCAGCAGCAGCGGAACGCCGCGGCCGCGTCGCAGGCGACTTCTGTGCTCCGATCCCGAAGCCCCTCGCCCGCCGCCCCGCGCCCGCCGCCCCTCGCCCCATCCCTCCGGCCCCTCGCCCCATCCCGCCCCACCCCTCCGCCCCACCCCTCCGCCCCATCCCTCGGCCCCCTGGCCCCCTGGCCCCCTGGCCCCTCGCCCCCCCTCCGTGGCACTGGAGTCGCCCCCCCGCCCCCCCCCCCAAAGAGGCGCTGTTCACGGCTCCGCCCGTCCACAGGCTCGAGATTACCCGAGATTACCCGAGATTACCCGAGATTGCCCGTCCGCAGGCAATGAAGCACCTCTGCGACGCGTGCGCCGAGCACCTCGCCGAGGAGGCGACGATGGCGCAGCTCATCCAGATGTACCTCGGCGCGATCTCCCCCCCCCCCCCCTCCCCGCCTCCCCCGCCCGCCTCCCCACTCTCGAGGCGGCGGCGGGCTTGCGAGCTCACGCGCCTCGCCGCTGGCAGGGACGCTCTCCTTCTCGCTCGAGCCCGCGGACCGTGTCGACCTCGTCGCCGCGCTCTCCTTCGTCGTGTCGCAGCTGCCGCTGCCACAGGTCCTGCCCGCCATGGAGGCCATCGCGCGCCCGCTGCTGCAGCGGCTACAGGCGGCGCTCGAGGGCGGCGGCGGCCCGGGCGAGGTGTCGGTGCTGCTCGAGCATGTCTAGGAAGTGTCTAGGAAGTGTCTAGGAAGTGTCTAGGCGAGGTGTCGGTGCTGCTCGAGCAGCTCTGCGCGCTGCTGGGCAAGGTGTCGCCGGGGGCGAGGCCGACCGCCGACGAGGTCGCGCGCGTGCCCGCGTTGCAAGACGCGCTGCACCCTTCCGTCCACCTGCTGCAGCAGCTGTGGGGCGTGCTGGAGGCGATCTTTGAGCGGCACGGCCAATCTCGGCCAATCTCGGCCAATCTCGGCCAATCTCGGCCAATCTCGGCTAACCTCGGCCAATCTCGGCCAATCTCGGCACCCGAAGGCGATCTTTGAGCGGCACGGCGGCGACTCGCGCGTGATGGAGAAGCTCTGCCGCTGCTACAAGCACACGTCGCGCAACACGGCGCAGGGCCCGTTCCGCGGCGACTTCCGGTCGCTCGTCCCGCGACTGTTGCCGCAGGCCGCCTGCATCGCCCGCCGGCCACGCCTCTCTGGCTCAGCTCGAGCTCAGCTCTAGCTTGGGGCGCGCTCTCTCTCGCAGGTGACCGGCTGGTTCGAGCGGCAGCCGCACTCGTGCTTCCTCTACGTCGCCAACGTCTGCTTGCGCGGCTACCACGACGCGCCCGAGCTGCTGCCGACGTTCCGCGAGACGTTCGCGCGCATGAGCGCCGTCGTCTTCCGCTTGCTCTCCGCCGCACCGACTGCCATCCCCGACAACCCCGACGTGGTGGACGACTTTTTCGAGCTCTGCTCCACCGTTCTCCGGCTGCACCCCGCCCTGCTCGCCGAGTCAGAGCTGCTCCTCTCCTCCTTCCAGTGCGGCTGCGCGGCGCTGCGCATCCAGCACCGCGAGGCGAACCGCGCCGTCGTCGGCTTCTTCGAGATGCTCCTCGTACTGCGGCAGGCGGGCGAGAGATGCTCCGAGATGGGCCCGAGGCCGGGCTCTCCCCGAGACTCTTCAAGCTTTGGTCCGAGATGGGTTCCGCTCGCTGATTACCCGAGATTACCCGAGATTACCCGAGATGGGCTCCGCTCGCTGGCCTCGCCCTCGCCCGCGTGCATTCCGGGCCTCTCCCACTTCATTCTGGGCCTCTCCCACTCTAAAGGCCGTAGAGGCTGCCCGCCCGCATCGCCCGTCCACTTCATCCTGGGCCTCTGAAGGCCGTAGAGGCTCCCCGCCCGCATTGCCCGTCTCGCTGGGTGCGGAGACGCGGGGGGTAGCCCCAGACGCGGGGGGGGGGGGGGGGGCGCACGACCCACCGCCTGTGTGTGGGAGAGAGCGAGGTGCCCCCTCTCCTCACTCCCCTCTCCTCGCCTCAGGCGGGCGCGCGCGGCAACCTCTCGCCGGCAGCCTTCAACGGGATCACCACCCTGTTGGTCGCGAACGGCGCGCAGCTGGCGCAGGAGCTGCTGCTCGCAATCGCGGGGCTCGTGCCGCCGGCGCGCGTCCGCTTCCTCTCGCCTGTGCTCAAGGGGCTCGTCCTCGTCGACTACGCCGCCTCGCGCAGCTGGCTCGAGGCGGCGGTGCAGGCGCTGCCGCCCGGCGGGCACATGGACGGCGCCACGCTGCTGCAGGCCATCTACAGCGCCGAGGCGCTGGCGCGCGACGACCGCGGCGCGGGCGACCGGGTCTTTGGCCAGGCGGCGGAGGCGCCGCGCGCGGGCGGCGCGCGCGGCTCCGCTTCTGAGCGTGGTCCGTGACACGACCGCGGCTCGTCCCGTAGGCGTTTAGCAACGCGTGCCGGCGGAGGCGGCTGCTGTGACCTGCCGGGGCAGCGCCGAGAGGCGGCGCCGAGGTGGGGGGAGCGGGCGGCGTCGAGTGGCGGGTTCGGAGAGAGGGAGAGAGAGAGGCGGCAGGCGCCGGCCATCTAAACCTAGTCGATGGAGAGGAGGGGGGCGGAGGAGGTTTGCGGCGTCCGGCGGAGCGCGAGAGCCGCAGTCGGCGGAACAGCGGCGGAACTTCAACCACAGCGCGGGGGAGCATACAAACTTACAAAGCAGCCCAGGGTTTTCTTGGTCGGAAGAGTAGGAGGAGACAAAGGGGCGACGCACTTGGTTTTGGACTCCAGGTACCAGGACTGGTTAGAGAGAGAGAGATTTTTGAAAACCAACAAGAAATCTCACGAGGCTCACTGTGTGATTTGGGCTCGGGGGGCTCGTCGGCAGCTTGTCAGCCCTCAGCCGAAGCTGGGGCCGGTCCCGTAGCCGAGAGAGCCCGCGCCGTTGAGTTCGACGCGGTCGGGAGGCCTTGCGGAGAGGCCAGCGAGGTGGCGATCGCTGTACTTCATGGTGTCATCAAGTGACGGGCTGACAAGCCAGAGGTCGCGATACTCTGGACGACCCATAGGATGGCACGAATGCCTGAAGGAGAGGGAGGCGAGGCCAGAGGCAGACTCAGTGCTCTCGGGTGATCTCGCTTTGGTGGCCGAAGGACCCGATGGTCCTGTCACATTCGCGTTCCGAGTCGTGGGGGTAGAAGATTGCGGGGGGGCATCGAGTCAACACTTCCTTGTAGTACAGCGGACCGCAAGGCTCGCCGGCAGCAACCGCAGGGAGGCAGCATATGAGGCACCGGTCTTCTGGAGAGCTCAACAGCTGCAGCCGCGATGGCAGAGTCGGCCGCGGTTCGAGCGAGCAGCTTTTGGCTGCGGGATCGAATCGCGGAAGGCTCATGCCCTCGCGGAGCGACGCGGGTCGCGCGGCGCGCGCTGAGCCCTGGTCTGACAGACTGACAGCAAACCCCGGACAGCGCCTGACAGTGCCCGACAGCCTGACAGCGCTGACAGCGCTTTCTCTGACAGTCTGACAGCACGTATCTGACAGCCTGACAGCAGAGCCTGACAGGCGAGGTGACCCGTCGCTGTCAGGCCCTAACGTGACAGCCTGACAGCTGCCTGACAGCCCGACAGCACACAGTGGCCTGACAGCAGCGCTGACAGCCTGACAGCAGCACAGACCGTACACAGACCCCGTAGAGCCTCTTTCTTGTGCCCCATGAGGGTATAACAAAATTACATGCAAAGACATGTGAGTGTGGTCCATGTCCATGTAGTCATGGGATGGTCATGGGTCTCTCTTTCAACCCTCCCGCCCCACCTCTGCGGACCCCTCTCCAGCACCGGCGGCTGTGCTACTACAAATGAAGCTACCAGCTAGCCTTCTGGGGCCCTACAGTCATATGCCTACGGCGTCTGGGTGGGGGTGGCCGCCGCCGTCTGTGCCGCCGCCGCCGCCTGTGCCTCTGCGCCGCCATCTGCGCTCCCCAGGCGGCCGCCGCCGCCGGCGTGATCACGCCGTGTAGGAGGGGGGGTAGCTGCGTAGCCGCCGGCGTCATCGGCGTCAGCACCCCCTTGATAGTCAGCGCACTCTTGATAGTGTCATAAGTGTGGCTGATGTGTGTCAGAGCCTGACAGCACCCCGACAGCACCACCTGACAGCACCTGACAGCAACAGCCCAACGTCTAACAGCAGCAGCAGCCTGACAGCTCTGACAGCTCCGACAGCGTCTGACAGCAAATCCCGACAGCTCCGACAGCACCCGACAGCTACAGATCACCTCGCCTGTCAGACACGCACCCGACAGCACCTGACAGCACTGACAGCACCTGACAGCTGGTCTGACAGAGGCACCTGACAGTGCCTGACAGTGCCCGACAGCCCGCGACAGATCACCTGACAGCACCTGACAGCCTGACAGCCAGGGCTCAGGGCGCGCGCGTGTGCGAAATGCGACAAGTCAACAGACGACAGACGACAGACGCCTGAGCGCTGAACGGCTGAACGACCGTCGCCGCAATCGCCACCGCTGCCATTTTGACGAGCAGCGCGAGCGCGCTCGTCGGCGGCCAGCCGTCGCGGGCCGGGCCGAGCCCGGCCTCAACCAGCCACGCCGCCGCAGCAGGCCCGGAGGCCCGCATGGCGGCTGCCACGAGGACAAGACGCCGTCTCTGGTTAGTGGTTTTGGAGCACTTGGATGGAATACGTTGCGGGGTTGGGTTGCGGGTAGGATTCCCTACGTTACGGTTGGTAGCTTCAGGGGGCGCGGGGCCGGGGAGCTGAGAAGCGCACCCAGCGGGCCGGATGATCGGGATCGGGTTACGGGCTAGAGAACCCTAGCCCTGGGGGGTGCGCGTTCGCAGGGAAAGGGGTGTAAAGTAAACACGGTCCCCGAGGGTTAGCTCTGCGCTCCGGGTTTCCCCTAGCAGCGGAACGCCCCCTCTACTCGGGGCTAGTAGACACCAGACACCAGCACGACAACACACACACTCCTCCCTGACATCACCGCTTGGGACCCCTCGTTCCGCGCGCGGTTTCCTTACCCCCCACTCCGAAGGGGGCCCTCCCTCCCCCCGGCCCTCCCTCCTGTTCGCCTTCCGATGGTTACGCGACGACTGTGGGGCCGACCTCCCCTCCTAGCCTTCTTTGGCTGCGGCCCCGCCGCCGCTGCGTCTTCTCTGCCCGATCCCGTTGACTCCGCCTCCGGCGACCCCGCTCCCGACTCCCTCGGTGGCATCGGGTCGTACCCACTTCCACCCCCGGGATGTCGGGCCCGCTCTCCCCGGTCAACGAGTCGCGCCCGCCCCCGCGGCCTCTCTATCGTTCTCGGCTCGCCCCTCCCCTCCACCGGCTCCTCCTCAAGCTCGGACGGAGGGGGGCCGTGCGTAGGGTGCCCACAGGACCCAAAAGAAAATAGCTTTCCGGCTCAAAAAGGGACGCACGAGGCAAATCTGATGTTGGATTGTTCCAATAGGAGCGAGGCCTCTTCCGTTGGGGGACCGAGTACATAGGAAACGAGGGTTCCCCGGTTTGTCACGCGCGAGCACGAGCGTGACACTGCACTTGGCGCCGAGCGCCCGCGGCACAGACCTTGTGCAAGCCGACCCCCTCGGTGCAAGCACCGGTCCGGACCGATGGCGCTCGGTGTGGAGCAAGCAAGACCCCCCCCCCCCATCGGCGCGCGCTCGCCATTCCAACGGGCGCCAGGAGCACCAAGAGGACTCCTCATGGCTGCTTGCAAGTGGGCTTCGACCGGCCTCGGCTGGGGGGGCGGGTTGTCCCGGCTGCGGACGCGTTCTGCAGCCCCCTGGGCCCGTGACAGCACCCCAAAACTGCCCCTCGGCGGCATACAGCACTGCCAGCCAGCCTCTTCCTCCTCCTAAGGGCTGTACTATAGGCCATATTGCGCCGCCTCCTACTGGCAGCCGGGCGGGCGCGCGCCGCGGGCGCCTCGGCGCGCGCACGGCTCGCAAAGTTCGAACGAGTACTGCCGCCCGGCCGCCTCAAGGCTGCCGGGCGGCAGGACTCGCCTCGCAAGGCGCGCACCGGCTGCTCTGGCTGCTGCGCCGGCGGCCGCTGCGCTGGCCGCTGCTGCGCTGGCTGGCGAGCGGTACGGCCGCCGCCGGCCGCTGCACCCGCGCCTTCCCTCGCGGGCGCCGTCGCGCCGCGCGCGCCCAACTCTGCTGGCACACACGGCACGCGTCGTCACACAGCCGCGGAGAACAGGCGGTGCTGTGCGCGAAGCGCGCGCGATCTCGTACTTTTAACCCTTTTACGTACACATTTCGAGGGAGTGAAAACCAACTCCTGAGCACGGCGCCGCAGGCGCCTGTTGATAGGTCCAGGTGATAGCCCTGGATGGGCAATGCATTCGCCTACCTGGGCCTCAGATCGCCCGACCGCGTCCCGGTGCTCTGTGGTCGGATTTGTGACGCCGCCGCACCGCGCCGCGGCCGGGGGCCCGCCGGAGGCCGAGGATGGCCGTGGCGGACCGGGACGAGCTCTGGGAGGTTCAGTGTCAGTGAGTATATTGTAGAGGCCACCCATGTGCACAATATCTTGACTGAGAGCTAAGCCAGGGGAGGCGATGCCGGGGCCGTACAGCAGCTTGATGGTGCTTCGCCGGCGTAGAAGCGGCCGCGGAGGGCTCCGGGTGCCTGAAAAAGACGGAGTTACGTGGGCTGTGGGAGAGTTACTGTCGACTCAAACGACACTGTGCCGTGATCCTCTCATATATGGCTAAATAATTGACCGAGCCAAAAAAAAGTTCCACCGCTACGACTGGAGATATATCGAGATTTGGTCACCATGACCACTATGAAGCAAAAGGGTTAAGGCTGGATCCGGCCATTCCAAGCAAGGGTATACCTTTGAGAATCCCCAGCGTCCCACCCTCCTAGTCACACTCTCAATATCTCGACTATCCAACATGAAGTGCTGCGATCGGGAGTGCCCCATTTGTTTTTTCCTTTCTTTTTTTGGGTCCTGTGGGCACCCTACCGTCGGGTACTTATTTTAAGAGCAGGTAAACAGCAATAGATCCGGCCCTCAAGCGGCCTAATCGATACCCAGCCCTCACGGAATCGGTCCCTCGTTGTACAGCAATCGATCCTTCACACTGCCCGCGCTGCCAAACTTGCTGAGAATCGGTCCCCCCATCTGTGGCGCGAAGCTGATATGTCTCCCGCGCTCGGCGCGCCGACCGCGCAGCGGCGGCAGACCACCCTCCGGTTCGAGGGGCGCCTGGGGGTGAGCGGGCTGCCTCCGCCAGAGTTTGGCTCGCCCACCTGTGCGGGCCCCCCTGTACCCCCTCCCCCCCCCGGCCCGGGTGTCTAGCAATTGGTCCCTTGGCAAGCGCGAATCGGTCCCCCTGGCTCCAGGAACTGATCCGGCACTACACCCGGATCTATTGCTGTTTACCTGCTCTTAAAATAAGTACCCGACGGTACCGTGCGTGGCTCCCCTTGTCGTAGATCACGGTGGTCCGGCTGCCGCCGCGACGGGTCTACCCCCGGTGGGCTCGCACGGCCCGACTCCACTCGCAGAGGCCGAGTCAGCTCGACCCTCCCCTCCCCCGACAGTTGACTCCGTCCTTGCTTATTTGACAGTTGACTGACGGCGGAACCAGCTCGCGGCGCAGCGGTTCATGGATCGAATACGACTCGAACTTCGGCTCGGGCACAGGGGAACCGAATCTAGTCAAGCCCGCGCCGGCCAAGACAACGACGACAGCGACGATGGCGCAAGGAGCGACGACGAGGAGACACCCGACCGAGCAGCAGAGCCAGGACCGAGCGAGCAACCACCCGAAACGGGCCAGCCGAACGATGGCAGCCAGACAGACGACGAATTTACAGTGATGGACGTAGACGAAGAACAGCCAGAGTACGAGGCATCCCAGCCGCCGAATAAGCGGGGGCGATTTGAGAACGAACGTAGCGGTTCGATGAGTCAGGGGCAGGGGGCGAGCAGGCAACAGGAAGAGGACGGAGAGCCGCTGACGAAAGCCCAGAGACAGCGCCAGCGCAACCGAGTGCGGGGATCACCCCGAAAGCCAACCAACAAATTCTCTGGCCTCAGCTGAGAAGGATAGGGTCGACGGGTGATGGGAGCGAGACCGAACGGCCGGGCATGCTCCTGCACGCCCGGGCAACTAGGTCATGGACCTCCCCCCTCCCCGAGTGTGTCGTGGAGATGGTAACTTGTTCATAATGCTGCTTGTACAACCACGACCGACGCGAGGACGCAAGTCCACCAACCTCGGCCATTCCAACGGCCAGACCGCTCGCTTAAGGCTGATTGGCTAGACGAGCGGTCTCCCTCCACGGGGCTGTTGGCGCAGGGGGAGGTGTCAATCACGCTCCCGGGACGCCGGAGAGATCGGGTTGGTCTCCCCCGCCTTCAGCCCTGACCCGACGGGGACGCCACCACCCTCGCCCAGGGATTTACAATGCTGTCTTAAGGTCCGACAGGTTCGGCACCGGGCACCGCCTCGGTATACAAAATGCGCCTGCGGGCGGACCCTTACAGATCACAGATCACACTCTCAATATCTCGACTATCCAACATGAAGTGCTGCGATCGGGATTTCCCCTTTGTTTTTTCCTTTCTTTTTTTGGGTCTTGCCAGCTCGATCACAACCGCGTTTTTTTTTGCGACCCTCACAAAGCCGCCGGACATCCAGAGGTCCGGTCACAGACTCGCTCACCATTCCTATGGTAAAGGGCACGCACCGGACCTGGTATCGCTCAGGATATCAGCCGCCTCCGCGCCCCCGACCCGCACTGCCGCTCGCCGCCATTCCGCCGGCCGCCCTCGCCGCCATTCCCGGCCGCAACTCTAGCGCGCAGACGCGGGGGCCTTGGGGGGTCGGGTTCAAGGGGCGTAGGCGGCGGCGCAAGTGCTGGCGGCCGACGAGTGCGGCCTACAGCCGGCGCGCCCGCAGTTTGCGCCACGCCGCCACCCCTTCCCTCGCCTCCCCCTTCAACCTCATCCCGTACGGCAGCAATCTCCCCTGGGACGGAGGGGAGCCGGCCGACTGCGACAATTTGGGGTGGCTCGACCCGTGGGGAACGATGCTAGGCGAAGACCTCGCCGCCCCCCCGCGGGCGGCCGACGAGGCGGAGCCCGAAGCGGCCTTCTGAAAAGGGAGCGCGCAGAGACGCCACACGGCCCTCTCTTCCCCCCCCCCCTCTTCCGGGCCTTCGTTCCGGGGCCCTCGATCCGGGCCCTTTCTTCCGGCTCCCCCCCAAACCCAGCCCCGCGCGCGGTGGCATCAGGGCGCGCGCTACCCGCCACAGGCTTCACGGAGGCCTCCTTCGGTCAGAAGCCAGTCGGCGGGTGCCGCGCCTTGCGGGCGTGCAGCGTCTCCCCCCTCTGCGCCCTTCTACGCGAGGGGAGGAGGTGAGCAGAGCGCTCGCGCCCTGCCTGCCGCCCGCGTGCCGCCTCGCCTCCCCGAAGTGCGGTGCGCTTCCCGGTGGGCTGACCCACCTCCGTTGCTTTTGCAGCCTGGCACGCGCCAGCCAGAGCGTGGAGCCCCCCGGCTGGCTTCTGCCTCGCCAAACGGGACGACGCCGCGCCGCCCGCCTGCCGCCAACCAGCAACTTTGGGACGCCTCGAAGCCAGGGCGCGGTGGCCTCCCGGCCAGCGCGCCGCGCTGCGAACGGATTCGGTCCCCCACTTCTGTGTCTTGGGCGCGTTAGAGACAGTTATAGTATGTAGACGGTCAGTGGCTGTTGATCGGTGGCTCTGGCTATAGATGTACCTCGTTTTAGATGTACCGAAGCGCAATGCCCCCCCCCCCCCCCAATCCACCGGCATCTCAAAAAAATCTTTTACGATGGGCGGCACGTCGCGTGGCCGCGCCGCGCTGCGCGCCCCCGGCTCGCCGCTGGCGCGCGGTTGATCGCGGCGCCGACTCCGCGGCGGCGCCATCTCACGCAGCGGGACGCATCGCTTCGACGGCGCCAAAGCAACGCGAGCTCGCGGCGCGGCCGCGGCAGCAAAAACATCAACGTCTACTTCTCCTTATCTCTCGTTCTCGTCTCGTCCGTCGTCTTGTCGCGGGCGCGCACGCGCGCGACGTGCGCCCGTGTCGCCGCGTTCGCTCCGCGAAGGACGATTCGAACCGGGAGCCAGTCGGCGCGGCGGCGGCGCGCGGCGGCAAAAGGCGCGGCGCTTGCTTCCTTGAGATGCTGCTGGTGTTGGCACCTCCTGATGTACATGTAATGCTGAGCGGGGCGGAGGCACGCGGGCGGCGGAGGCGGCGGCGGACGACGTCTACTACCTGGCCGCCCCCTGTGGTAGCTTAGCGATCAGGGAGGGTCTACCTGTTCGGCCTCGAGGAAGCTGCTGGGGGAGAGAGGGGGGGAGAGAGGAGAGGAGGAGAGGGGAGGGGATGAGAAGAGGAGAGCAGAGGAGAGGAGAGAGGAGGAGAGAGGAGAGGGGAGGGGGGAGAGAGGAGAGAAGAGGGGGGGGGGCGCGAGCGGGAGGGAGGGAGGGAGGGAGAGAGAGGGCGGAGCGAGCAGAGAGAGTCTCAGTCAGGGGAGAGAGAGGGAGAGAGTGGAGAGAAGTGGAGAGGGAAAAGAGGGAGAGAGGAGAGCCTTTGAGCCTTGGCACCAGTCAGGCAGTAGATTTGGCCCTGGCACCAGCCTTGGCAGTTGATTTGGCCTTGGCACCAGCCTTGGCGGGCGGGCACGCGATATGCACAGGCGCCAAGGGGCGCAGAACCGACCCAACCCGTCGGAGGTGGGGGGAAGGGAGTCCCGCCGGGTTCCCCTGCACGAGCGCGAGAGTAACCCCAGGAGGGCCGAGAGATGAGCGGTGTGCGCAGGGGTCGGCGTGGAGGGCGAGGAACGCGCCGCGCGGGGCGCCGCCTCACCGGCCTTCGCCAACGCCTCAAAAGTGGCGCAGAGTGAGGCGGCGCCCTGAGCGAGTGCGTGAGCCCCGTGGCTCCAACCGGGCCCTTCCTTTTTTGAGCAGGTGTGCCGCCGCGCAAGCGACGCTCCGAGATCGCCCGAGATAGCGCGGCGCGGCCCCGAGATCGCCCGAGATTGCGCGAGATCGACCGAGATTGCGCGGCGCGGCCCGTGGCAAGGTGGGTGGGTTGGGAGCGAGGGGGCGAGAGTGATCAGTGCGGTAGACGGTGAGCTCGGGGCGCGCGAGCCGGACTTGTGAGCCGGACGGACGGCTTTCATTTCTCTCTGCGGTCTCGCACATGGAGTGCGAAATACTCGCTCGCTCGACTTTCCGCCCCAACTTGGAGCACTTGGAGTGCAGTCATAAAACCGCACCCAAACTGTCACTCCCCTTTCTCCCGGCCCTAGGGCAGCTGTTTTCTTAACACCGAAGGTAGGTAGGTAGAAAGGTGAAGAACAGCCAGGCTCGGACTGGACACCAACGCGGTATGGGTGGACGCTGGCGAAGGCGGTCTCAAAAAAAAATCTATCGTGGTGGGCGCGGCGGCCGCCTCGCCCTCGGCACACACAGCGCGAGAGCACACCGGGCCTAGAGGCCGAGCGCACACCACCAGCCCAATGCCACTCGCGGTCGCCACCATCGCCCACTTGACACTCGTGCTGCCTCGCCAGTGGGCGCCGAGCGCCGGCGCGGCTGCGGGCCTGCCAGCCTCGCGGCGAGCCGGCGCGGCGCCCGTCTGCGTCTTCTCTGGCATTGTCGAAGAGATTGGCGAGGTCAGGCGGCTCGAGCAGCGCGACGACCTTCCGCTCTGGGACGGAGGCGTCGGCGAGGGCGTCGAGCTCGAGGTGGGGGCGTCGACGGTGCTCGAGGGTGCCTACCTCGGCTGCAGCATCGCGGTCAACGGCGTCTGCCTCACCGTCACCAAGTTTGACGCGGACTCGTTCTGCGTTGGCCTGGCACCCGAGACGCTCCGCCGGACAAACCTGCAGGCGAGACGCCCCCGTGTCTTCTGCGCTCGCCGGCCAGACTCGCAGAACCGGAGCCTGTCTCTCTTTGCCAAGAGAGGGTTCGAACCGGAGCCTGTCTCTGCCTGCGCTGCAGGCGGCGGCGCCGGGCGCTGCGCTGAACCTCGAGAGGGCGCTGGCGGCGGACGGGCGCAACTCGGGGCACCTGGTGCAGGGGCACGTGGACGACGTCGGCACCATCGAGGCGATGGTCCCAGACGGCGAGGCGCTGACGGTGCGCGATGCAGAGCGCGATCCCCGATGCAGAGCACAGGACCCCTGCGATCAAGAGTAGCACTCGAGAGGAGACGCACTCGGCTGTGTTCGGCTGTGCTCGCTGTACTCGCAGCCCGTGCGCCGAACACACCGCACGACGCCATCTCCACGCCACGAGCCTGCTCGCGCTGCAGTCTGCAAGACGTGCGCTGCAGCACCCCCACGCCTCGGTGCGGGCGAGAGCGCGGTACCAGATCGGCACCGCCCCTGCGAGAGCGACGACGGCTCCCGCCAGGATGCCGAACCGCCCCGCGTACTCGTGCCGCAGGTGCGCGTCCGGCCGCCAAAGTCGCTGCTGCCATACATCGTGCCAAAGGCGCGTGCACGGGAGACACGACCACACACCACCAGAGGGGGCCACAGACGCGACACCACAGACGCGCCCCCCCGCCCCCCCCCTTCTGAGATGTGAACGGGGGTTCGGTGCCTGCCTCGCCTCACCGCACCTCTCCTCTAGCTGTCCTCTCCTCTAGAGCTGTCCTCGCCGCGCCGCAGGGCTTCATCTGCGTGGACGGCACCTCGCTGACGGTGTGCGAGGCGAGCGGGACGCAGCTACCGGCTCGACCTCCTCTCGAGGACGCGTCCCTGACGTGTCCACGGCGTGTCCCGCAGGTCAACCAGGCGGAGGGCTGGTTCGATTTCATGCTCGTCTCGTTCACGCAGGCGCGCCGCGCCGCCCATCGCAGAGCGGCGAGGCGGCCCAACCAACCCGGCAGAGCGGCGAAGCGGCCCAACCAACCCGGCCCGGCCGCTTGTCCGCACCGCCGCAGGCGCACATCACGCTCCCCCGCAAGGCCGTCGGCGACGCGGTCAACCTCGAGGTGGACGTGACTGCAAAGTACGTCGAGCGTTCCGTCGGAGGGCTCGCGCAGCGTGTGGCGGAGCTGGAGGCGGAGGTGGCGCAGCTAAAGGCTGCCCAGTGATGTGTCGAGGAGCCAGCCGGAAGGACCATCCCCGCTCTCGGCTGCCCGTTTGCCGCTCCCCCGCCAAGGAGACAAAGAGGGTCGAGAGTCTAGCCAGCCGTAGCCAAGCAGCGCGCCCGCCGGTAGGTGCGGCACATATATGGAGACCGATGTCCGATATCCGTCCGGAAGCGAGACCCCGGATCCCGCAGAAGTGCCTCCGCGCGCGGCGCGCAAGCGGAAGAGTAAAATCTAGAACTGTTCCGATAAAATGGTGAGCGACGTTTTGTCCACATAGTACAGTCAGGGAAGGCTACTACACAGTAAACGCTGCATCACACACGCCGGCACGGGGAGGAGACGCACACGGGGCTCAGGGGTTTTCAGGTACGGGTCGGCGGCGCGTGGCGCTACCTCAAGCCTCCTCCTTTGTAGATGTCGGTGTTTGCGATGGGCGGTATGTCGGAGATGCGCTCGGCCGCAGTGGCGGCACGCTGGATGGCTCTTGGGTCTGTTCTGAGTTGCGCCACCGTCTGCCGGTCTGCGACGTACTGCGACGGAACCAGCTGCTGCCTGTCGCCGACGTCGACTGCCATGTCGCGCAGGCGCCCTTGTCGGTTCAAGTGCTCCTCCCATCCCTGCAGGCAACGCGGGCAGGTGCGTTTGGCTGGTGAGTTGGTCGCGGGACGCATTACGACGCGCCACCTTGCGCAGCTCGCTGAGGACAGACTGGTCCAGGCCGGAGCTCGCAATCTCGTCCTTGAGCTCTTTCATGACGTCGGCGACTACGTTGTTCGAGACGATCTGAGCAGTGTGCATGGCGCTGGCACCAGTGGCTGGGCGCGGTGGCTGCGCGGCCTGGGTTCCGGCTCCTGGCCCCCCGCGGGCGGATCTAGGGTGCAGGCACCAGCAGATACCCGCATAAAAACGGTGTGGCGGTGGAGTGCTCTCTAATGCCGCGGCGCCCCTTCCGGTTCGTGCCCACGTCGACCGGCTGCTCTCGTGGCGCCGAGCGAGGCGTAGGGGGGGGGGGGGGGGGAGCGTGCGCGAGATGTGGCTGCGAGGGCCGAGGCACTCGCTGCCCTCTACGCTGGCATCCTGACTTTGAGCTGTGACCAGACTGAGCTCTGAGCGGGATGCTGGATCTTTTCTCGCAACTCGCAGAAGATCGCTGGCGCCCCGATGGGCGATGGGCGATGGCCGATGCAGTTGAGCGCGACCGCCATCAAGGGTCACGGCCGCGAACACGGGCGGAGGAGCCAGATTCGATAGCAGCGCGAGCATTGCAACCCTCGTGCAGTCGAATATGAGCGGCAACAGGGCCGCGTCGGCCTCGGCCTTCTACTACAGCGGCTCTTCTTCCCTCTTTTCCACGCCGGGTGCAGTTCGTGACTCCGAGTTCGTGTCCAACGTCGCCGGCGACGGAATCACCATCACCGTCACGGCCGTCTCCCAACTAAGCTGGTTCCCCTGCCCGCTCGGCGAATGGATGCCCACTCGTGGTGCGTTCAAGGGCGACGTGCTCGGCTGCAACGCCTGTCCTGAGCGGCACTACGGCGACGCCAGCAACCTGGAGACGGGCACCTGCAGCGGCATCTGCCCGTTCGGCCATTACTGCGGGGAGAGGACCGTGATCCCGACTCCTTGCGGCAATGGAACTTACATGCCGCTGTTGGGAGCGTCCAGGCCCGAGGATTGCTTCAAGTGCCCGCGTGGACAGTATCAGTCGGAGAGCGGGCAGCCAAACTGCACCGTCTGCCCTGACGGAACCTACTCGGCGAGCTCTGGAAGCTCGGCCTGTGAGGAGTGCGAGCCGGGCGGCTACTGCGAGGTGGAGGATGGAAGCATGGTCCGGCATGCGTGCCCCGCCGGCAGGTACAACCCTGAAACCCGTTCCACCTCAATCAAATCATGCCGTCTCTGCCCCTCCGGCACCGCGAGTCCCCACCCAGGACAAACAAGCTGCTCCAAATGCGAGGTGGGCACATACGCACGACAACCCAATGGTGAGTGCGTCCCGTGCCCATTTCCAATGAGCAGTGGGCGCGGTAGCGTCAAGTAGAATTTTTGAAGTCACACCGCAGGAGCGGGCTCGCGGAGTAGAGAGCGCATGCTCTCCACTGCCCAATCTCAGCTCCCGCCCCCCAAACCCTCCGACGCCGCAGGAGCTCAACTCTACAAGGACCTCGCAACATCCTGCTTCCCGGGGCGCCACCGCAAGGCGCGCGTTCTGTCTCACCCATTTGTGCGCCGAGCTTCGTGACGAGGGGCGTCCCTGTCCGCAGGTGTCGCTCGTGCTTCTGGCAAAGAGCCTCGGCGCGACCCCCGCTCGGACGCGGGCGGACCTCCTTTCGGGCAGCATCGCCGAGCGCGGCAGCCTCGCGAAGCGCAGCTTAGGCGGCCTCAGCCGGGTGTTCGCCAAGATGAGCAGCCGCAGCTCTGCGGAGGCGCGAGACGTCTCTGGAGGCGAGGCGTCGTCGGTGCAGCGGCAGGTCTGATCGGTTGCGAGGCAGACGGAACTCACATGTTAGTTCAAAGGTCGCGTTGGTCGCCGCGGTTTGGGGGGGGGGGGTCGGGAGAGTGTGTTCACCTGCGATCGTTGGTGTTGCGCGCGGAAATAAAGGGCGTCGCTCTGTCCTCAATTAAATAAACAAAAAGGAACACAGGTCCCCGCCCGTGCCCGGTCTTTGTGCAGCCAGGGTTCTTTGTGGGTGTGGTCGGCGACTTGCCGGGGTTGTCCTCACGATGGGGGGGGACTAGCACTAGGGGGGGGACTAGCACTAAGAAAACCACTTCACGCCCGGGTGGTGCTTAATTGGAGGCGCCTGCGGCGACCGCCTCTCCGCTTCCGACTCCAGGCGCCTCCCATCAGCGAGCAGTGCCGCCAGCTCGCGCTCGAGCTCCTCATCAAAGCGCTCGAGTGACGCGTCGTCACGCCGGCGCCACTCGTGGCTCACGCGGCTCCAGTCGATGGCGCGCTCGCGTCGAGGCAGCGGAGGCAGCGGCACCGCGGCGGGCCACCTCTCATGCGGCTGTGGGACATACCTCAGCCGCTTCGCGTAAGCCCGGAGCAGGGCGCGCCAGTAGCAATGCCTCGCGTGTGCCTGGACGAAGGTAGGCTACCTCAGGCTGCGAAGGGGAGTGGCGACCCAGCGTCCAGGGGTGCGGCGCGCGTTGAGAAGGCGGTGCGCTAGCCGCCGGCTCTCCGCTGCAACCTTTCTCATCGTCTCCAGCTGAGGCACGCCCGCTGCATCTGCTAGCACCTGCGAGGGGCGGCCCCGCTCACGCTGTCTTATACTTGTGCCCGGCGGAGGTCAAAGTCGACGTGCCGGCAGAATGTCCAGCGGCGACGAGTTCCAAAAGGGGATGTAATGCACGCCAGGCTGAAGCGCAGAGTAGTAGTACCTACTCGGGGTGTGTCCCAAGGCGTCGAGGCGCTGTCGGCTCACGGCTACGGCGGTGCCTTCTTCGGCCGCACTCGTGGTAGTAGGAGTCTTGCTTGAGAACGAGCGACCCTGTCGCGAGAAGCGACTGCAATCGGTACGAGCAGCTGTGGCCGTCGAGCTGTAGCAGGAAGCGGTAGGCCGCATGTCGCCGCATGTCTGCAAAGCTGCGCGTCTCGAGCGGAGTTGCGCTGGGTAGGAAGTCGGACCGGCCGCGGCTCCGGACGTAGGGATCGTTCTCGCTCTCGTAAGCGACGAGGCCGACATCCAGGAGCGGAGACGCCTAGAGCCGCCAGCGCCTCTTCTTATAGAGAGGCACTATGCTGCGCGTACCCTGTCGCACATATGTGTCCCCTACCATCACACTGGTGTGAACAGGTCCCGAACCCATACTGTGACCTGGTAGCATATGCGTTCTGGCGTTCATCTACAGACGACGTTTTGCGCCGATAGATGGGACAGCAAGAAGCGCGAGCAGTGGCCGAAGCGGCTGAGGCCGCAATACGGCATTCCCTGCCAGAACGAGCGGTTCATCTTCTTCCTCCACGGAAACTGAGCCTCCCAGTGCTCGGAGCCTCGCAGCATCTTTCGGTCATAGTCGCTCAATCTGAACGAGCCACTGGGACACAAGATGTCATCATGCCGGCTCGTTTGGTAGTGTGAGAAGAGTGGGGGCACGACTGGCCTGTCCGGAGAGAGAGGCTGACGGGGCACAAACGGATAGTCGTCTGTATTCAGCACCATTTCGACATTGGGCAGCGATGGAGCTAACTCTCGCAAATCGGCGACAACTTGCGCGAGCAGGGGGTGGCGTCCACGGGGCCATGTGACCGGCACTCCACTGGCCGACAACGTCTGCGATGGGAGGTAGACGCTGCCGTTGGCAATGATGAGAGCAACCCTCACGCCGGGATCAACCTTGCGCTCGCGAAGCGTGTCCAGATCCTATGGGCACGGGTTGGAGCAAGGCCGTGGCAATCTATGCGATTTGGCCTATCCGTACAATTCACGTGCATCCCCGCTAGGCACCTGCTCTCGAATGGACGCATGCGGCCAGTGCTGCAAATCGCGCAGCAGCTGACTCTTCAGCGGGCGCAGCTCCTCCCCACACGTCGCGAGCGGAGTGCCGCCCCAGGCGGACATCTATCTACTCGTACAACCAAAGGAGCTCTCACGCCGCGCGTAGGGCCCTTAGGGGCCTAGAGAACACAACGCCCCCTCTCTCTTTTCTCCCAGTAAGCTATAAGTACGTACGACCACCACAAACAAACCCGCCGCGCACTTTCACGCGAGTTTGAATGAAAACACACGCCCCGGGTTCTTTCTTTCTTGTAGATAAATTCGAACCCATGCCAAAAGAAAAAAAGAGCCTCGAACGGCTGCAACGAAAAACACCGCGCCATTCGCTCTCACCTGTCAACCCTGTCTGCACGTCTCGCGCGCGCGTGAACAGGGCTAAACCACCATAAACATCATTGTGAAATAAATAAATAAAAACGGGACACCTCTACTGTGAGATGGGTAAAAAGGAACAGGTCCCCGCCCTTGCGATCTTTGTGCAGGGTTCTTTCATCTTTGTGGGTGTGGTCCAGGGGCTCCAGGCCCCAAATTACGTGTGAGTGTTAGAGTTGTTTGGTGCGTGGCCGCGCTATAGGAAGAAAAAGCACTGGTGTACATTCGTATGTTCGCAAGAGCCACATTCGCTAGACGACACCGGCTTGCTTGTTCGCTCCGGAGGCTCGTCGACGACAGAAACAACAAAACCACTCTCTCTCGCTGGTCGGTCGTCGCCATGCCTCGGGGTCTAAGGTGCTGCTTGTGCAGGCCTCCAGCTCTGGCCTCTCTCCAGGCTCGTCTCCAGCAACTCGGATAGCGCCTGACCGAACTCCTCCTCCTCGCGCTCCTGTTCACGCCACGAATCCGTGAGGCGCCATTCATCACCGCCAGTCCCTCACGCCCGTCGCGACCCCCCCCCCCCCTCCCGCCCCCCCACCTCCTCCGAAAGCCGGCTCCGTACCAGCGCGCGATGCCGCCGAGCTCGTGTCAAGACACGCGCCGCCGCCGCCTCCGCCGCCACCGTCTCCGCCACCGCCGCCTCCGCCTCCGCCGCCTCCGCCGCCACCGTCTCCGCCACCGCCGCCTCGCCGTGCGACATTCCCGCGGCGACAGCGCCGGGGCAGGCGCGCACGCGAAAGACAAAGCTGCGCTGGGCGACGGGCGCGTCGTCGCCGACCTGTGCACGCGTCGTGGGCGCGTCGCGCTTAGAGGAGGCGCCCGATGCTGCAACGGTCCAGAATCTGGGTTACTCGGATGACATCGGGTGGTCCCGCCCGGCTGCAGAGGGCCGGTAGCGCTTCCGCTGGCGCACCTCCACGCCCCTCGCCAGTGACGGCACCAATCCCTCGCCGCGAAGGCTTTCGAGGAGGTCCTGTTCACGCTGCCAGGCACTGTGAAGAGACGCAGCTCACAGCCCTCGGCGCGACGGGGAGGCTCGCCGCGTCGAACCCGCTCGAGCCCCACCGCTCTGCAGTGTGCGCGTAGAGGCACTCCGCCGCCTTGCCCGCCCGCAGCAGCTTGCCGACGATGGATGCGAAGGCGCGCGCCCCTGCGGCTGAGTAGACGAGATCCGAGCCTGGACACACTGCGTCACGAGAGGTTGGGACGCGCCATCCACATGCGGTTTCTTCGGTGCGGAGATAGCGTGGCCGACGATCAGGTCGAAATCTCCGAGCGTGCCGACGTCTGGCCACGTGCACTCCGCACATCTCACGGCCGCAGGCGGCGGCTTGAATTCCCGCACGCTGCGGCACAGCGCCTCAAAGGCGCCCGCCTCTGCCATCTCGGTCAGGCAGAGGTTAAGATCGGGCCGCACAGCCGCGAGGGTGCAGCCGAACCAGCCTGTCCCCGAGCCGAGCTCAAGGACGCGTGCTCCTGCAGGCAGGCCACTCCCACCACCACTCCCAACACCACTCTCGCCACTGCCACTGCTGCTCTCGCCCGCACTGCTGCTCTCGCCCGCGCTGGCAGTGCCAGCGCAGTACGCGAGGAGCGACCCAGCGGCTGGCCACGTCCGCCGAGAGCAGTGGCTGGAAAACGCGTCGTGCGCCATGCACACAAACTAAGCGGTGGGGGGGGCAGAAAAGATAACGCACGGTCCAGCGGAGCTGGGAAGAGGACCGCCGCAAGCGGCGTGGCGTGGAGCGGTTGTGCATCCCTCCGGGGGCCCCTCTGCGCCGGGGAGGCGTTGTTGGAGGCTAGGACGCAAGCGTCCGTCGCCCTTTTCAAACTCGGGGCCCACTCCGCTACGCTCCGACCCGAATTTGGAGGGCCTAAAACTTTAAGGTGTTGCTGCGCAAAAGGGGTCGGACACCGGGCGCAGCTCATGCTAAGAGCTAGAAGAGGAGATAGAGAGAACAACCACCCTGTCCCGTTATTGCGTACACCAACACCACAAAACGCTCTCTCTCTCCTGTCCTCACTCATACGAGCGTCACTTTGTACCCACCCCCCCTACTTCGTGGGGACCCCCCCGCCGGTCGGTGGTCTGCCCCCGAGGTGGACCGGACCCCCCCTCCGGTCGGTCGCTCTCTCGGCGGCGGGAGGTGTGACGACCGACCCCCCCCTCGGTCGGTGTCCTTGCCGTGAGCCCCCTGAAACGCTCTCCCTCCTTCTCGCGAACCGCCACGTGGGCGCTTCGAAATCGCCGGTTTTCACTATGAAAACTAGTCACGCAGCCAAGCGCCAAGGAGACTTCTTCGCCGAGGCCCGAGCGTTCTTTTTCTCGTGCCCGACAGATGGCCGGCGTGCGGCGGATCATCGCGTTGATGCTGGCTGTTAGCAGCGCCGCGCCCACTCCGGCGAGCTGCGACGACTGGGCCGCTTCCGGCGAATGCGACAGGAACGCTGCCTTCATGTGGGAGTCGTGTGAGTCCGCGTGCACCAAGCACGGCTTCAAGGACCCGCGCGCTGCAATCGACGAGATGGCGCTCGCTGGACCTCCCGCCGGTGGCCAAGTATTGGAGCTGCGCCTCGCGAGTGGCGCCAACCTCGCGCCCATACGAATTGATCTGCGCCCCGACCTATCGCCGATCACCGTGGCTGCAGTGATCGCTGCGGTCGGCAAGCGTGGCGACGAGGGCACCGCCGCAACATTTTATCGCAACGAGGCGGTGCCAACGGCGCCGCCCGGCCAATGCGGCGAGATCCTTTGCGGTCCGTACTCGCTTATTCAGGGAAGGCTGCCCGGCCTCCGCGGCACACCGACCGAGGGCCAAGCCGCCGTGCGCAAGGGCTACGTCGCGCGAATCCAGGACGGCGACGACTTCTTCATCGCGCTTGACGCCCATGCCGAGTGGGGCCACAGCTTCACGATCTGGGGCGAGCTGCGCGACGCCGCCGGCTTCGAGACGCTCGAGGCGATCGCAAGGCTGCCGTACCACGAGACCACGGGCGCGGGTGGCACAGTGATGCGGCTCCTGGACACGGAGCTGCCGACGCGCGGCGCCATCGTCGCGGCGGCTGCGTCTGCAGAGTCGGCGTTGAACCGCGAGTTGTGACTGACGGAGAGTTTTGTGTAGCCCGGAGCGTAGTCCGTTGTGACCTGCTCGTAGCTCGGCCGGGTGAGGCGCATCTGGCGCTCGCTCGCCTGCCGCAGCACAAGTGACTGAGTCGGCCAGTGAGGGCGAGCCCATCGCTGACTGTCACAGCTGTGGCAGCCGCACAGTAGGCTGTGCCAACTGTGCAGAGGCCAGAGTGTGTGAGCAGCAGAGGAGCTGCTCTCCAGGCTTCAGGCGCAAAGAGATGCATGCCACCGAAGGCGCTGTCGAGGTTCGCCGAGCGCGGCGCAGCGGTTGAGGGAAGCCGCCGCCACCGACGAGCGCGTTGGAGTATTCACTCCGGACAAAGACGGCGACACGCACACGAGCTGCGGCCGTGCCGCCGTCTTAGCGGCGAGGCGCGGGACCGTCTGTGGCGAGGTGGATCGCGTCCCTCGATTTCCTCAACTCACGGTCCACGAGGGGGCCTCGGTCTCGCGGAGCTCATGCTGCTCCTCCCTGGGCCTCTTCCCACAGGAGCGCTGTGAAGTGGCTGCGGCAATAGCAGACAGGCTCCACACCCTTTATGTGAGAGAGAGAGTTGTGTTGTTTAAATTCTTTCTCTTCATTTTTCTTTTCCTTTTTCAGAGTTTGACCGTTTTGTTTATTTTATATTTATTTATTTCAATATGCGTCTCACTCCGCAAACACGGGCAGGTCGTACTGTGCTCGCGGCAGGGCGGCCCTCGCCTTCGCCTCGCCGTGCATCATCGCCACCACCCGCCCCTGCGTGAGGACGGGGTACGCCCTCACTGCATCGCGGTGCGACGCGAATGCGGGGAGCGCGTCCGCGATCGAGGGCCAGTTGAGGCCGACGGACGCACAGAGGCGGTCGCGCGCGTCGCCGACGCTCTCAACCTCGTGCCACCAGCCGCTCGGCATCAGCAGAGCGTCGCCTGGCCGCAGCTCTACGATGAGACCCTCGCAACCCCGCAGCTCCGCAGCCCCGAGCGACGTACCCGCGATGCGCTCCTGCGCCGTCAGCGCGGGCCAAGTGCTGCACTGAGGCCGCATCAGGTCGTGGTAGCGCGGAGAGTAGAGCGTCACCCGCTTGCGGCCATGGAGCTGGCAGAGGAGCACCATCGGGAGATCGTAGTGCAGCGGGGAGCGCGCACCGTCGCCGGAAAGCCAGAGCGAGCGCCGCGCCACCCTCTCTCCTCTGAGCAGCGGGTGCGGCGGCGGGCAGTCGGCGAGGAGCGCGTCGGGCAGCACCTCGCCGTGCACGTACACCGTCGGAGGCCCCTCCCGCAACGCGGCCAGGAAGCGAGCCGTCGGCACCGTCTCCATAGGGCAAGGCTTCCCCGAGGCGCTGTCGCGCGGGTACTCGCCCGAGCGAGAGCGCGACACGCGAACCGTCGGCAGCGCGCGAGCGAGCGACTGCTCCGTCCAGCGGCACGCAGGCCATGCCGAGCACAGCCCGCGGAACACGGCGGGCGTGGCGAAGGACGCCGCCGGCCGAGCCGGGTCGCCGACGGGCACCTCTGCGAGCGCGGGCGTTACGTCTGCTGAGCCGGCACGGCGCCGCCACGACTGTCGCGTGCGCTGGCGAGCTCCCAAATCCATACGCGGACCTCTTTCTCACCAAGGCGTGGACCACCTGAACTGTCTCGTCGTCGTCGTCTCTAGCCAGTCACCCTCTTAGTACCTATTGGTGCAACCAGCCTAGAGCGCGATCTTTCACACTGGTGAGCGCGCCGCGTATACACGGCCCGCGCGAGACCGCCGCGCGCCGCTCGCGGTGCCCACACCATCGGGACCGGTCCGGAGCACCCAGCGACCGGTGTCGAATCGCCAGATTCGACCGCGCTGGCCTCCTGGAGCAACGCGCTGTCGCTCGCAATGACGCGATACGCGCGCTTTTTTAGCTCCATTTTACACCGATCGTTCGCGCCCAGACCACTCCCATCCATCGAGGGCACATGAGTAGCCTACGATTGACCCATCTCCGGCCGTCTCTATGCACTCGCAGGTGCGTTTGGTCCTCGGCGCGCCCGCTCTCGCTGCCTCGAGCTGCAGAGATGCCTGCAAAGAAGACCGGGCGCGGAGCGAATCTGAGCCTACTCAACAAGGAGCACCCGAAGGACAAAAAGGGCGACGACGACATCGGCGACCTCGATTACGTCGACAAGCCGGACGACTCGTCGAGCTCGGGCGAGTCCACCAGCGGCGAGGCGCTGCCGCTGGTGCAGTCAACCCTCCCCTTCTCTGGTGCGAGCAGCGCACGGAAGAAGGGGAAGAACAAGCGGCCTCGGGCCGCGGAGGGCCCTAGCCAACGGACGCTCGCCGATTTCATGCCCCGCCGGCCGCCTTCTCTCTCAGATGGCGCCACCTCTCAGCCTCCCGCCGACGCTCCCGCCGACGCTCCCACCTCCTCTCCCGCCGCCCCGACGGAGGAGATGGCGCCAGCGCTGCCCGAGCCCGAGCAGCTGCCGCCGCCTGAGCTAGCCGCGGAGCCACCGGCCAAGCCAAAGCGCGGCCGCCCACCGGGCAGCAAAAGGCCGGCTCAAGCCAGTGCGTCCAACCCGAGCCACTGCGGCCGTGCGTCGAGCTCTATCGGCGGCAACACGAGCGAGGTTTGGTGCTCTCAGGAGCGCTATGCCAACACGTGGTCGGCAGGGGCCGGCGGGGCAGGTCCGCGGCGAGCGCTTCGCCTGCGGCGCGCGTCTCTGGCCACCAGGGAGGGTCTGGAGGGCGATTTTGGGGTCGATTTTTGGGAAGTGATGCCAATCGAGAGATCTCGCCGAGCCCTTTTCGGTGGTGTGCTTGCGAGCTTTTTTTTCGCACGGGAAGCATTTTTCGTACTCGCAAACGTGAATTAGTCGACTAGGCTGGGTGCACCAATAGGCAGGGTGATAGTGCACGATTAACAGCCTTGTTATTGAGAAGAAAATACCTCCGCTGGGGCTATGCGCTGGTCTGTGAGAGGTTGAGGTGCGAGCCCTGGAGGCCCTGGGAATGGGGGGAGACTACCCGCGGGACTAGAAGGCCCGCGCGCAGGGGGGTGGGGCATTGAGACCGGTCATGAATGAGTGCGCGACACGCATGTTGCGAGCAGCGTTGTTGATGTTTTGCGCGTCGCCACAGACGGCGGCGCGCGAGAGCTGTTGCGAGTGGTGCTGGACAAAGCCCCGGGCGCTGCCGGAGGCTGTGCCGCAGTCGGTGGACGGTGCGGTCGACGGCGCTCGGGCTGGCCGACCTCTTTGGCGAAGTTGTGGATGATTCTCTTGGTTGGCGGCGCGATGCCGCCCTGGCTTTCGACGAGACAAATTTTGACGATTCCGTTCTTGACATGGAGCGCGTCGTAGTACTGTCCCTTGTGCCCTTTGACCCAGCCTTTACCGGTCGCATGGACGAGCGGGCCCTGTGACTTGTGGCCGCGCTCTTTGCACCCAAGAACCTTGAGCAAGGTTTGGTCGAGGGTGTTGCCGAAACCAAACTTGTGGCCCAGTAAACGCACAGCATCCGCCGTGTGCCGCCACACGACAGACAAGGCGCCCATCCCTCCCTTGGGTGAGTGTGTGTGTGAGCGAGCTTCAAGCGCGCTCATCTCGATTGTCAAGCTCAAGGCGTCGCTACGCGCGGTCTTCCGCGGGGGGAGCTTCGTCGACGGGTGCGGGACCGCGGCGCAGACAGTGCTGCGGCGATGCCTCCGGCTGCTGCGGCGAGTGGCTTGCTGCTCGCTGCGATGGCGAAAAACTCGTCTCGTCGCACACCAACCAAGGGCTGGTTAGGCTCTGGCGAGACGTGAGGCGCATGCGCCCAGGAGGGGAGGGCGCATGCGTAACGACGCTGCTAGAGATGCCTTTCGGGGCCCAGAGATAAAACTTCTGATGCCATGCGTGACCTAGTAGTGTCCCCAGCTATGGGCGTGTCCACGTTGGAGCCAGGTGTGGTGTGGACGCGAGCCAATAGCTCCGCCGTTCATGGAGGCAACCGATGCGAGTCGACTGGTGTGTGTCGTCGTGGTTTCGTATCAAGAATACTCACTCACACGTCACACCTCCCTTCGCGGGGCGCGAGGGCGACGCGCCGCTCGACGCAGACGCGGGCCGCGCCAGGGGCGAGCGAGAGTCAGCAGACACGCCTTGGCATTGAAGCTCCAATGGCGCAGTCCCGTCGAGGCCGATAGTAGCAGATGCGCCGGGCGAGTCCAGTGCCTGCCCGGCGCCCCAGGTGGAGCTTCCCGCGCCGGCCGTGGTGTGGGGGCGCTGCGGCGAGGCTCCGCGGCTCGTCGGCCGAAGGCTCGACGGCGCCCGCATGTCGAGCAGCGACGGCCGCCTCCCCAGCTGTGGCTGGGCCGTGCGAGGCCGCGCCGACGACCTGGGGTGTTGCAGGTGGGGTCGGCGCGAGCTGCAGGGCGCTGTGTGTGTGTTTGGAGCATTGCTGCGTCGAGACGTTGGCATGGAAGCCAAGGGAAGAGTGAGGGCTCGCACCGCGGCGCGGAGCCCATCACAGCCTCGAGCGTGCGCCGCTGCTGCACGCTCGCCGCCTGAGCTAGTAGGGAGTTGCGCGCGCCCGTGTACTGCTGCCCAGAAACAGTTGCCAGCGACAGCAAGAATGGCGCAGACACAGATTCTGTGCCAACCAAAGAGAGATGGCGCAGCCGGAGGGCTGGCGCCGTCAGAGAGGATGGAGCGGCCACAGAGGTGGCGCGGCATCAGGTCCCATGAGCAGGGAGAGAGCGCAGCGAGAGCGCCGCGCATGAGGAGCGAGGGCCAAGCGCGCTCGCGAAACCGTAGGCGGCGAAAGCCCCCCCGCGCACCAGCTGAAGTGCAAGTTTGGTGTTCACAGCAACGGAGGCTGAGTGAAGACCGCATGCGATGTGCGCGAGGGCACACGAGAGGGGCTCAGGAGAGGTATCCGTGAGTACCCTACGATAAACTAGTGGCCTACCGAGTTGGGCCTCGCGACTTTGCTTTCTTTTTTCGAGGGGGAGCCTGGTTGGGCCGACGTGCGCCCGGTGGCCTTCCTCGGGCCCTTCCTCACGTGACGCACGGCGAGGGCGGCACTCGCCACGGCTGCGAGCGCCCACCCTCTCCACCACCTCACTCCGCACACAGGCGCCAGTAATACTCATGATTCTCCGCGTCCGTACGCCGTCGGGGGGGACGCTCAAGCTGCGCGTCGAGCCGTCGCTGGCCTTCGACGCCTTCCTGACGCAGGCGGCCGCCGAGGCCGGCCTGCCGTCTGCAGCCTGCTCCCTCTCCCTCAACCGGAAAGAGTCGCTCTCGCCCGCCGCCGGCACGCCCCTCTCGCAAGTGGGGCTTGCGGGCGGAGACCTGCTCTACCTCCTCTCCTCTGAGCCCGGCAGTGGCGGAGCCGCCACCGCCGCTCCGCCGCCCGCCGCCGCCGCTCCGGTCGCCGCGCCGGCCGCGCCGCCGTCCGGAGGCCACAGAAACCTGCCGCCGCAAGCGGCGCCACGACGGGCGGCGTTCGCGCCGGCGCCGGCTGTGGTGCCGTACGCCAACCCGCTCGGCGAAGGCGGCGCTCCTCTCGGAGGTGCCCCCGCCCCCGCCCCGCACACTGCCGCCGCGGGCGGCCTTCCGCCATCGCCGGCGGCGGCGGCGGCGGCGGCAGCGGCGGCGAGGGCGGAGAGGGAGGGCGCGGTGCGGAGGCTGGGAGAGATGGGCTTCCCGCGGGGCGACGCCCTCGCCGCCCTCGCCGCCGCCGGCGGCGATCTCTCTGCCGCCGCTGCCTCGCTCGCCGCCAACGCCTCTGAAGCGGAGGCGGCCGCGCTGGTCGGCGGCCGAAGTCGACTGATGATCTGCTGAGGGCGATGGGTTTGAATGTAGGAGCCCATGCAGGTCGAGGGGGCGGCGCGTGCGCCCGCGGCGGCGGCAGCGCCGCCCACAGCTGCTGCTGCGGCGGCGGGGGGGGCGTGCGTGCAAGAGGCGATAGTGCTCTCCATTGGTCGCGCGGTGGCCGCTGCAGCCGGCGGGGGAGGAGGGTGCGGCTTCGCTCCGCACGACGTGGTCCTGCTCGCGGCGCACGCGCTGCTCGCCTCGGGAGGGTTCGTGCCGGCGCCAAGCGGCGACGGGCCAGCCACCGGCCCTGAGGGCGGCGCAGCCGCGGGGCTGCCTCGAGGGTGGCGTAGCCGCGGAGGTACAGTAGAGGGCTCGCCCTCTCGCAATCAGAACGACAAGAGCGGTGACAATCACATCAATCCCATCAGGCATGCTCGCCCTCTCGTACTCGCACGAGCGGCGCGGCGGGTCCGGCGCGCCGCTGCTCGAGCGGGAAGCGGATCCGGTGCCGGAGTGCATCAGTCTTGATGGATCCTGGTTCACGAGTCAGGCGCGCCACTGCTCGAGGTCCGCGCCGTGACGATGGGGAGCTCGGTCCTTCTGCACGCCATGCTGCAAGGAGGAGGCCCGCAGCAGCTCATCTCTGTGCAGGTCGACGCCACGCGCGTCTCCGGCGTCGGCGCAGCTGCGGCGGCGCTCGCCCCGCTGCGGCCTCTGCTTCACCTGCTCGGGGCAAGGCTAGCTGCAGCCGCTCCCTCTTCTCTGCCCAGCCCCCCCACCCTCACCCGAATTCTCGCCCTCACCCTCGCCCTCGCCCCCACCCAGGCTGCTGCAGCCGCTCCTCTGCTCCCTCCGCGCCACCGTCTTCGACCCGTCAGGCGCCGGCGCCCCCACGGAGCTGGTCGACCTCTGCCCGGAGCTGCAGCTTGCCATCCTCGCCCATCTGCCCGCCGCCGCACTCTGCCGCGCCGCTTCCGTCTCCCGCTCCTTCGCATCGCTCGCCGCCGACGACGCGATCTGGCGCGACCTCGTCCGCGGCCGCTCCCGGCTTCTTGTTCGGCGACCCGACTTGTTGTTGTCAGGCGCGAGCTCTTCCGCGCCTCCTTCGGCGATTTTCCTCCCCGCGACCTCTCCGCCCCGCCCTCCGCCGCCGGCCCCTCCACCTCCGCCGCACCGCCGCCCGCCGGCGGAGCCGCCAAGCGGGCGTACGCCACCCGGCTGGACGAGGAGAGGACCGCCGCTGCAGAGAAGGAGAAGCGGCGGCGGCTGCACGAACAGGTGCTGCGCGATGGCCCTCCGTGGTACGGCCACCTCAACCCCCCGCCAGGCCACTTCAACCCTCCAGGGCCCCTGCCCGTCAACCCCGGGCCCGGGGGGGGCTACCCCGGCGGGCTGCCTGTCCCCCTCCCCGGCTTCGTCGGGGGCGATTTTGACCGCACGCCCGGCTTTGGCCCGCTGCACGGGGGCGCCCCCGGCTTCGGCCCACCGCCTGGCTTCCCCGGCGTGCCAGCCATCTCCCACCTTCGGCGGCGAGGGACCGCCCCGAATTTTTCTCGGAACTTGCCTGTGTAGGCATGCCCGGCGCCGGCGGCGGGCGCGGCATGCAGCCGCGATACGACCCGATCGGAGGAGGGCACGACCCGCTCCTCGACCCAGACGGCATCTCGGGGGTCGGAGGCGGCATCGGCGGCGTGCCGATGGGGCCGGGCCGCGGCGGACGTGGCCGAGGCCGCGGCGGCCGTTTCCCTGGCGGCGGCATGTGGGACCCGGACGGGCCCGGGTTCGACCCGCGTTTCCTGTGACAAAAGGTCAAAACGGGATGGGCGGCCGTGGGATGTGCTTGTGCGGAAAAGGTTTGGGGCTACTGCCGGCTGCGGTGTCCGGTGGGTGAGAGATGGCTAAGCGCGATATGTGCCGGGTGGGTGGCGAGATGTCTCTGGGCCTGTGTGCGATTGCCGCGTCGGGCCTGTCGCAATCCGCATATGTCGGGAGCAACACCTTAATTAAGGAACACACTACTCGAACATACGTAGTGCTCAAGCATCAGTCCGGCGATTCGACGCCGACACGCGAGAGAGAACCGGCTGCGCCAGTTCATGCCGTGGCACCTCCCGCCTCGGAGGCAAGGGCGAGTGGTAAACGCCGCTCCATTCGGAGAAGGTGAGGCCGGCGGCCCCCCTGGCGCTGCGCGGCACGACGATGGCCCTCTCCACGTCGTCCCTCGATAGGAGGTGCTGCCGCAGGCTGCACATGCAGCGGTCCAACGTGCCTAGCATCACGTCGATGCCGCCCGTCGCCCTCTCCACGCACAGGCTGACCTCAACAGTGCACTGGTGGTGAGATGAGTAATAGGCGACGACTTGAGCGCGGCACCGAAGCGCATCGTGCTCCTGAAGCAGCGCGTCGATCGATCGTTGCAGCTGCTCCTTGAAGGCGGGCTCGACAGCGACACAGGACAGGCAGGTGGCCTCCTCCACTACGAACTGCGACCATATGTACATGATGACGACGCTGAGCACGAGCGACACAAAGGGGTCGACGTCCTCCGGCTCCATCACATAGCTGATGGCGTCCTCGTGGATCTTTGCGAAGAAGGTGACGGCGATGATGAAGGTCGTGCAGAGGCAGTCGTTGCGCTTGTCGCCCGCGAGAGCCACGAGCACCGAGGAGCCCGTCTTCGGGATTGCATACCATGCGCAGAACTGCCACAGCAGAAACTTGTACAGCGCGCAGCAGCAAAGAAACTGGTTGGCGAGCAGCACGTGCTCCCACTCGGTGAGTGGATCCACGACCTGCGCCACGCGGTTGATGGTGTCCTCGACGACGACGCTGGCGTCGGAAAGGCTGCCGGTCGCAAGGGCCTGGTGGAGAAGCATGGTCGGCTCCTGGTCATGCAGGCACCCCTTGAGCTGTAGAAAGCTCTTTGCCTGTCCAGAATGAGGACACGCGTGTGTGTCGCGTGTGTGAAAGGTGGTTGGGGGGGGGGGGGGCACCCCAGCGGAGGTGCCGGGGGGGGCGCGTCTCAGCTTATTTCGACTACCTCGGGCGACTGTCGAGGCGCAGACAGGGGCGCCTCAGGCGAGTAGAGCAGGGCGTAGCTGTGCGCGTCGAACTGGCGACTCTCATTGAGCATGGGCTCAAAGAGCGCTGACCAGAACGCACGAACCGCATCCTCGCGGGTGTCCTCCTCCTCGTCGAGCAGCACCTGTTCATTGCAGCATCAACCATCATTGTGGCTCCTCACTTTGTGCGCCCGCCCATCCCTCCGCCGTTGCGCGGCGCGCCTCGATGTTATTGATGGCATTGCCCAACATCATCGCGCCTGTGAGCATGCCGTGATACTCAGCTAGGGCTACAGTCGCTCGAGCCCTCTCCTCTCCTCGCGTCTCGAGCGGCTATCGCCCTAGTCGAGCCTCTCCTCTCGTCTCATCGCGCCCATTAGCGTCGAGAAGATGAGCACCCCGATTGGCTCTAGCCGCCCCAGCCCGACCGGATACCGCTCTGTGTCTGGCGACGCGACCCTGTAACCCGTATAAAGCGCGATGACGTTGGCGACGAGGTCGCCCAGCGAATCTAGGGCTGAGGTCTTCATCACCGCCGCGCCAGTTCGGGTGTAGGCGTACACCTTGGCCACCGCGATCGCGATGCACATCACCGTGGCAAAGCGCGTTATCGTCGCCACCAGGCGGCTGTGCCGCTGGGGGGCGTACTCCGAGGCCCGCCCGGCGTCGTCTCGCGGAGAGCCAGGTGCACGCGCACGCGTGTCCCTCGCCTTGGCCAACAGTAGCGATCCGCACATGCTGAGGCAAGTCCGACCGACGGGCTCCAACCGGGCGGCGGCTGACTTGCCCCCCTCGGGCGACAGGGCGGATGCGCTCCGACGCCTCGACTTGGAGTGGTGGGACGGGTGAGGAGAGGAGGCTGACGGCCCGCTGCTGCGCGTGAGGGACGACTGCGTCGACGAGAGGCGCTGCGGCAGGCGGGGGCTCGGCTGAGTGGTATACAGAGAGAGAGAGAGAGAGATGTGATACCACACTCTGTGTGCATGCGTGGTGGAGAATGTAGCAGCAAATGGGTCGTGTGAGAGAGAGATTGTGTTGGTTGGGATCATGTCTGCGGGAGCACCGCGCGGGCTGCATCGCGGCCGTTTTCGTGTATCCAGGACTTGTTGGAGACGACAAAGGAGGGTGTGGGGATGCTTCGTGCAGCCTCGACCACGGGCACGGCCACGGCCACGGCGATGCTCCGCCGGCTGTTCTCGGTAAGCATATGCAACCTTCAGCCAGAGGACGTCCGTCCGATGTCCGAATGCGGAATGGCAAAGCGTGAAGAAGGCCCGCGGGTTAGTCTCCCCCCTATCCCCAGGGCCTCCAGGGCTCGCACCTCAACCTCTCACAGACCAGCGCACAGCGCCATAGGACGTATGTTCTTCTCATAACAAGGCCTATGAATTAATAAGGTACGCCTATCTCACACCCTCACTCACTATCTGCGATGACCGATGTGAGCTTCTTGTTTCTTATCTATCTGTGAAAGACCAGCGCGCAGACAGGAGGTATTTTCTTCTCAAAAACAAGGGCTGTGAACTATCTGTGCTGTCTCACACTGTTCTCACTCACTCAACTGTCACGGCTCTACATAGACACACCATGCGATCAACTCGCATCTCGCACCTGACGACTGTATCAGCGAGGCGCAGCGCAGCATACACGCACCCCTCGGACTCGCAAAATCATCCATCGGGCATCAACAAGAACACAAGAATCCCTCGACATCTCTTACCTGTACGGAGTACGCAATCAACAGTACAGAGGGCCGGGTCTCGCGTCACGCCAACTTGTCCCATTGCGCCGACACGCCGAAGCGCGCCATGGCCCTTCCCTGCTCAAGGAGAGGAAGCAACGCGTGCCCTTCCACACGTCCTCTTTCTCCCGCCTCGGCTCGCCCATGGAACCATCACGAGGGCGGGTGGGCAAATAGCAGCTCCGACCCGTCAAGCCTCGGCGGCTTCTTGAAGGCGGTCGTTTCGGAGCGGGAGCGCCTGTGCCACGTCGCCGGCGCCGAGGCGCACGCGGGGCTCTGCGTTGCCGCGGCGGCACCGGCGGCCGGTGGTTCGGGCGGCGCTGCTCCTGTGGCCCGCCGTGTCGAGAGGGGCGTCGGCGGCCGGGATCCCACCATGGCAGACGCGGCGCACCAGGCAGCCCGCCGGCGCTGCTGCTCGCGGAGCGCGGCCACGAGGCGGAGCAGGATGGCGGCGGCAGCGGCGGTGGCAACAAAGGAGAGGAGGGCCCACGCGAGGAGCCACCGGTCAGACTCAGCCTCGAGGGAGCTCATCAGCGCAAAGACGAGTGCGAGCGCGAGGTTGAGGGCGGTGAGACTCCACTCCTCGCGGAGGGGCGGCGGCGACGCCCTCCCCGAGAGGCCCTCGAGGGCGGTGAGCACCATCATGCTGCAACCGACCGCCGTCAGGTAGTGCCACGTGCCGTGCTTCAGGTCGTAGAGCTTGCGTAGCTCTACGCGGTTGGCCCGGCTGCGCGACCAGGCCTCCCTCTCGCTGGCCTCGTCAAAGGAGGGAAGCAGAGGCGGCGATGGAGGCGGCGATGGAGGCGCAGGAGGCAAAGGAGGCGGCGACGGAGGTGCAAGCGGCGGCGGAGGAGGCTCGGGGAAGGTGTGATCGGGGGAGGGCGCGGACGGCGGCGCGGCCGCAGGTTGCTTTGGCTTTGGGAGGTGGCAGTCGAGCCGCCACTCGGGACCACGCCCCGTCATAAGAAGGAGTCTGCTCTCGTCCCGAGTGGCGCACCGGCCCGAGCCACCGAACGCGTCCGGAGCCAGGCAGAGCCAGACCCAGTCCGGCCGCGTGTCGTTGACCCAATAGTGCCCCTCGCAATTGAACGCCGGCTGGGCAAGCTGCTCGCACGGCACGCCGTGCGGGGTCGCCTCGCGCGAGAGGACGCTGCTGCAGTCGGCGACCCAGACAGAACTTCCCGCGAGACCCTTCTTGTCCGCCGCACGCTGGTTGAGCGCGTAGGCCACCCCGATCACAACCAGCGGCCAGCCCACCGCCCACAGAGCGCGCACGGCCGCCTTGACGCGCCGTCGTTCGTACCGCTGGGCCAGCAGAAACTGGGTGCCGAAGTTTAACGTGCAGACCACCGCGCCGGCGGCCAGAAGCACCTACACACAGGAAACGGGAGTCGGACAGGCAACACCGGCGCCGAGAAGGAGGTGTGAGGAGGGAGGAGGGAGGAGGGAGGAGGGAGGAGGGAGGAGGGAGGAGGGAGGAGGGAGGAGGGAGGAGGGAGGAGGGAGGAGGGAGGAGGGAGGAGGGAGGACGGACGAGGGAGGAGGTAGGAGGGAGGA